TTGATCCTCCACATGGTCACCGATCTTTAGACCTAGTTCTGCGAAATGCGTCATCGATCCGGCGGCATTTAAGCGAGCCATCGATATTTTTAACCGGAATGGGCCTTAATAATTTACTGGCACCGGACATCAGTTCTTTTCCACAAACTTCTTACTAATAAATAATGTTGATGCACCACAGTCCACAAGTGCTTTCACATCTGCTTGTCGGTTCTTTCCCTTCAACGTGATCGGAATGTAAAAATGCTCAGATTTGGATCTAATAAATACTTCTGATACATCCGAGAACGTAGATAGGATGGAGAAACGATTGTTCGGGTCTAAGTTCGCAGACTTTGACTTTGACCCTTCTAAAAACCCTTGCCTTCCTTAGCGGCCCAAGCTTTGAACCAACTTGGCATAGAGTCTTCTTCTTTTGGCACTGTAGTAGCCTTCACCTGCGCTTTTGGCGCGACTGCTCCCTTGCAGTTTCTAGCGATGTGTCCATCTTCTCCGCAGCGGTAACATTTGAAGGAACCAGTCCTTGTTTGAGGTTTTGGGGCACCTCGCTGTTTTCTGGAGTCGACGTCCATGGCATCGCTTTCTTTACTAGGACCAGCCTTGTATTCAGGGACTCTGGGGCCTTGTCTAGGGGTCCACCAGGTAGTTTTCTTCTTTTACGCATCCAGCTCTTCGAAGTTGTGTCCAATCTGGATCGCATGTTCCACCAGTTTCTTCATGGTGTCTTTGTCCTTTATAGGGACATGTGCGAGCTGTAGCTTGACGCGGTCTTGAAGTCCAGCCCTGAACTTCTGTCGTTGGTCATAGTCTGAAAAGGAGGTATGTGCAGCCTTTTGTCTGAAAGCGGCTGCGTACTCGGGGACTGACGAGGATCCTTGTCTTAGGGAGTCCAAGTCTCGGATTGCCTTGCCCTCTTGGTCTTCTTGCTTCCACATAGCAGTGAAGTCATCGTCGAACTTCTGCATGGTCAGCTTTCCGCTTGCGTGCTCCTCGATATATTTTTGAGCCCATTTTCCAGCAGTTCCTTTGATGAAGGATAGCATGACCGACAGCCTTTGTTTCTCCGTGATGGCTGGCCATTGCGTCATGTATAGGCAAATTTGTGCTAACCAAGCACTAGCATCGATGGAGTCTCTTTCTCCAGTGAAGTCCGAGGGTTTGGCGAATCTGATGGAGGAAGACGAGTTCATAAGAGAGGTTCCAGCGGATCCGAAAGAAGGTTGTGTTGCGGCCAGTTTGACCGTCTCATCCTCGTTTGCCTTTAAGCGTAGTTCTAGATCTTGGTTTTTAACTGCGAATTCCTGGTTTCTTCGCTCTAGTTCTGCTATTTTGGCGAGGAGGATGTCGGTAGCGGCCCGGACCTGACTCTGAACATATTGCACGAATTGTTCTTCCGTGCTTGGCAATGGTTCCGTTGGTTGTGCAGACATAGTACCAGTTGTGTTCTGGAACCCGATTTACTGATGTCTATTGAAGAGCTGCTCGTAAGGGCTCTTCCGAAAAGGAATGATGGTGAAAAGAGAAAAGTTATGTAAACGGAAAACTGAAGCGGTCCCCGATATCTGATCGGATCTACCACGTACTTCAGGGTCAAAGGGTTCTTTAGTCAACCCAACTGACGCTTCCCTACTACTAACTAAAAAGGTCGGAAATCTATACTCGATCGAGTGGGAAAAACTAGGGACAATGCAATCTCCGTTCTGAGGGTACAAGCCTAGGACAAGTTATCACTCTTCCAGCCGAAGCTTACAAGTGCGAGTCTCACTAGGGTATGTCTCTAAATCCTCGTAGGTCGAAAGCACGGTATGTCGCTAGACAGTTCCGCTATTGACTCGAAGCGAATGCCTACGTGCGTAAAGAAGAAAGGATAGGTAAAATGAAACTATAGTAACGTTGAGCAGGCAGGGTCTTGGGCCAGCACTCAAAGTTGCAGCGATGCGCCTAATGTCGCAAACACCTCCGTATACTGGCGGCTGTGGTAAGACAGGGCCTGGTATAGGACTACTAACTAAGAAAGAGGTAGGTATGAAAGGGTGCGCTCAAATGAGCAAAGGGATGAATCAAAGGTCGCGGTTGTTTAGACCGGGCAGGATAAAACGTGTAACGGCTTTGTTTGAATGACGATATGGAACGATTTCCAATATGGCCAAGCAAAGAAAGAGATGTGCGAGAGTGTAACGCGAGTCGGAGTCTCCTATAGTTCAAACCTAATGTCACAACCCTTATAACGAATTAACGTAGGGGCAGAGACTAGGACTCAAACAAGGATAATCACAAAGAGATGAGAGACAGCAGGTACGTCTTGGATTGCTCACTAGGAGATACAAGAGGTTTGAACTAAAGAACTACTGACTACGATGAGCTACCTATATACACATATTGAAACTGAGATTGAAACTGAGTATGAACTAACTAACCAATCAGAATAATTAAAGGTATCGTACGATTCTATATATAACTATGACATCATAACATGTGCCGCAGCCGCAGTAAGACTCTGGAACATTCCAAGAGTGTCGCGTGGCATCACATCTACGTCATCATCGGCATTGTCCGTCAAGTCACGTGATTCTGGTATTTCTACAATAGACGCAATAATAGGCACTTCTTCAACAGTAAACGTATTCTTAGGAACAGGCGCTATGACTGAGCGCTTACAAGACTTAGAATTTAAAAACGAATAATGGTTCGTATTTGGAACTCGTGACATCATCATCTTTAGCGGTGTCCTAAGCACTGCATCAAGCCAGTTAACGGTCACTGTCTCAACACACCTAAAGTCAATAGAAGTTTGTTTAGAACGACTCTGCTATTTACGCCTCCTCCCACGAACGACCACGTTATCAACCGTTGGTATTTGTCTGAACCATTGACCGTGGAGGATAGTGAGAACTGGTGATTTTATTGCCAATCACATCCTAGTAAGACAGCGCTTATTGTGCTAATATCATTTCTAATCTACTGTGAGGTAGAATTTTATTCCACATTTAAAAGACCATATTCTAGGCCGCCTTTGAGGGATCGAATACTCAGGTGATGAACACGAATTTACTGATGAAGATTGGGACCAGGTCATATTTGCAAACAACCGACTGCACGAACATGGTGTGCTATACTATGTATGACCTTCGAAGGGAGCAAGATACAATTAACCCTCGGACTCGTGCTGATATTATGGTCCTGTCGCATGAAGAAGATGACGAATGCCATCCATACTGGTATGCACGAGTTGTCCGAATTTTTCACTTGGACGTTTGGTATTATGGCGGTGAGAATACAGCTACATCAAAACCGCTGCGCATGCACGTACTTTTCATACGTTGGTTTGGGCATGATACTACGTTCAAGGGTGGCTGGTCTGCAAAGTGTTTGCACTGGCTTGGATTCTTCAAAGGCGATGATCCCGCGTGTTTTGGATTCCTTGACCCTGATCAAGTGATTCATGGGGTGCATCTCATTCCTGCCTTCGCACATGGGCGCACAGATCACTACATGGGACCCTCATTTGTCTGTCGTGAAGAAGATGGTGATGAAGACTGGCGGTATCACTATGTCAATATGTATGTCCTACTTTGCTTCTATACTATTCGCAATTCTAACTACTGTACAAGGTTTGTAGACCGAGATATGTTCATGCGGTTTCGCAGTGGAGGTGTCGGTCATAAGGTCACACAAGAATGGGACAACTTCTTGCAGAGTGACGGAGCCCCTGCAAATTTCCCCACTGATGATGAAGAATTGGATGACATTGAGATGGATGTTAGGGAGGATGGCGAGGAAGACGGCAAGGAGGATGGCAAGGAGGATGGCAAGGAAGACGGCGAGGAAGACGGCGAGGAAGACGGTGAGGAAGACGAGGAAGACGAGGAAGACCTAGACGATAGAGTAGAGGCTGATTCAGATGAGGAGCTTGACGATGATGTGCTTGCATGAGAGGGTTATGGTGCACTTTAATTATACTACTCAATGATATACTACACATGGGATAGATAATGTCATAGCAGACCAAGATAAACATTAGCAACTCGCTGTCAGGTTGACATACAGCTTAGCATGACATTGTGCAAATGCCATATAGTTTAGCATGACACAGAGCCAATGATTACTCGAGACCATGACGTGGCACGTCTGAGAAGCGTTGTGGCGCAGCCGCAACCCAAATCAGGCAATTTCTGATTTGTGGACTTTTGGTGATGCACTTGTGTCAACCTCATCCATTTTTGCGGTCAAACTTATAACTCTTACAGGTTATCTGTGATACATACACTCAACATGAGAAATATATTGATATTGTGGACGAACACAGAGGGACTGTAAGACTATTTTTTATTCATAGCGCCGTGTGATGACTTGTTTTCGTTCGCTCTCAGTCTCTGGTATTTCATTAAATGATGACTTATGTAGGAAGTACTAGATGATATCTAATATTCGTCTAGACAACCTCCAGTGTCTCAGGTCAATCTATCGTCTGAGTTGTCTGGCATTGATTTACTCCTAGGTGTGCATGTTCTTCTGCTACTGCTACTTGTGCTGGTCACGGTCTCGAGACGGACAGTCACAGACTTTCAGTTGTATTTGAAGGGTGTCGGTTCTCCATTAAGGTCATACCACTAGTCGTGGTGCTGCTCACCGTCGCAATTTGCTTGCCGGGCACTCATTCATGTCCGCTGAACTACTGCAACTGACAATTTCATACATCTGTACTGCAGACTAACTTTGGCCAGCTCACCGGCTATGAGCCGGAAGTAAGCAGTAGGGAGATTACGACGATTATAACCAGTATCAAATTCAAAGATTCGTTACTCTTTTTTCTGCCCAGCTTGGTAATTGTGTTAGCCTCTCACCCGAATCGCGTCGGTCAACTTACATACTCATTTTCACCAAAGATGACCATAAGATTTGTATATGTAACATTCTATCTAACGTTGTTGTATACCACGTCATTACATCTTTATTCTATCTCGCAATCCCATCCCTCCTGTCTACACCATCAAGATTCCCTAGATCCAAATATCACTATTTTTACGGCGGAGGTCCTTTACAATTTCTTGAAAGGCTCTGAGGGAGTCTCCCCTGGCGTCCAGGAGATCAAATTGATACAAGGTGCCATTCTGTGCTTTGGGGAGAAAGTCGGGGATGTTTAACGAGGGCATAACACGCTGGACTTCCCTCTCCTCTACCACGGAGTCATCAGATGATGGTACTCGCGGTCCAGTGCCGCGCCAAGTTGGATCGCGCCTCTCTGACATTGTCCGAGGAACTAGATCGCCACGGTCCACAGTGCTATACACCCAACGACGACCAGCAGCTATGATGACTCCCAAGTATTTGAGAGTACGATCAGCCTCAAATGCATGAAGAACCTGCTCCTGCACTTGCTCCTCCCAGATTGACTCCCACTGGAATCTATCGTCAGGACGTGGCGCTTTGATTTCAACTATCATAATAACCCGGCGAATTACATGACCGGGAACGACCAGGAAGGGCTGTTGTGCATGCTCGAGTATTTGCACAAAGTCCGGAATTTTGAAAGATGCATCCGACAAGCCAGTAGTTTGTCTAGGTGGAGTTGTTGGGGGAATACCACCTAATGGAATTTGATATGGCGATGAGGATTGAGGTAGTGGACGGGTGCTGACTGGAACGTTGAAAGGATTTTCCGCATGACGAGCTTGCAAACGAGTGACGCGCTGTGCAAGAGGACTTTCAGGGTACGGTACATGACGCAACGAGCCTGAGTGTAAAGGGCTAGGTGTCAGGGGAGGCAGTGGTCCTCCAAAAATTGCCTGTGAATCAGGACTGAAATCTGGGGTATGGTTGTATGACACTGAGGGTGATCCAGGAAGGCGGCTCCCTGGAGTCATTGAATGCCGACCTGGTGAAGGGTTGCCCATGACTATGTCAGACCAACCGGAGCTACCACTCTGCGGCGAGCGACCTGAATCATAGGATACAACAAGGGAATACTGCGGAACGCAGGTACATGCTGTTTGGGGTGTATCCGCATTACGAAATATATATCTTTCCAAGACTTTGGACCACACCCCGTACCAGGGGCATTCTCTCCGATCGGCTTGAGCAGCCTGGATAGACAATGCGAGAGAGAAATCATGGGAATTCCGGATGACCATTGAATGGGAACTCGGTAGAGTCACACCAGTGGTCCCTCCTCCTACAGATAGCTGATATTATAGTAGTGAGCAGTAATGAGGACTTGAGTCATTACATTCACTTACCGGCGATGTGAAAGTCTGGGCACTCGGGGATGGTTGGCGTAGTGTAGTCAAAGCATTGTGATTCGTAAATACTTGAGAGTAGGTAGATGGGGTTGTGAAATGTCGATGAGGTGGAGATGACATGACAAGGCTCAGTGGGTCCTGGAGAATCGCTATAGTGGTATATATGGGCTGCGCTCGTGAGTTTGATGACGATGATACGATGATCCAGACATTTTAAAGGCCACAATAGATGTTTGAAAGGTTAGAACATTGATGGAGATAAGTATAAGCCGTACTCACGGTTTGCGGTAACCGTTATCACTGACTCGTTTTTCATCACTGGCATCAAACTTTTCGATACGGCCCAACAACACCCACTCACCATGGTTCTTACCCCATCAAGCACAATCGCAGCCTCGTTGTTCTGTTCGACGCACGATCCCACTCGTGACAGTAGAGACTGCGACTATAATCACGCATCACTGAGGGGTCTCGGCGCCGCCCATCCTTGCCCCACGGTGATCTCTGCACTGTCGAGCATAATCGCAACCTTGATCGTTTCGTTCTGCATGCGGAGCCAACTGCAAGCTGTGGCAATACAGTCAAATCTACATCACTTCCATCATGCATCAGCTTCGATGCCACTCACCTCGCCCACAGTGATTTCTCCAACGAGTGAATCAGTTGCATTCGTATGGCTCCCCTTACTATGACTCACCTTGCCATGAGCAACGGACCTTCTGCCAGCCAAATTGACAGATATCAGTGCCAGATCTTCAGATATGTTATCCGAAGTTACAGTTTTTTCACTTCCGGTTAAATAAATGACTTGCGCCCATGAAAAGCCGCCGTGCTTCGCAGAGTCCATAGAGGAAAGAAGACAATATAGACATCGTCTGTGATGTACCTAGTAGGTGGCGCCAGGATGATTGAAATAGCCAACGACATTAATGGACGTGAACCTATCATACGGAGAGGATGAAAGTTCACCATAGGTCTAGGACCTCCTAAGACAGCTGTGAAGTGTGCAATGTGAAATTGTAGATCGTATGCCAGTGAATGAATAAAGTAGTACTATACTCCGTCCGACGCCACATTTTTCGGCGTTGCCCATGTTACTGTAACAGCGCTTACGCTCGCTCGTGACGCGTGATATTCTTACTCCATTTAGCATGATCAGTGCGGCCTTCGAAACAATAGCATACAGACTTAGTGTCCACTGTCCACATTGATCAGTGGCGTGGGTGTATGCCAAAGTATTATATATTATAGTACAGTTTGTTCAACGCCTCTTCGACAAAAATGACCTCGACTGCAAGCCAACTGGAACAAAGCCTTAGAAAACTTCAGGTGGGTGCCTCGTCAACTTTCATCTGTTGTACGCGTACTGCTACTCATTTTTTTAAAGATCTCAGAGTCTGACTCACAAAAAACGTCTACCGCGGTGCAGTGGGTGCCCTCCAAATACAGCTCAGACGTATCTCAGTACGTTCTCCTAAGGCCTCCCCGGCCTCCATGCGGCAATCGTCGGCTGTTTGGGTTTCCTATTGTCAAGAGGGAACTTTGGAACATGGGGACCATTGCTTTCCACCATGTTCGGCCAGGCAAAACTTTACCAGACAACAATGCCTACATCGCCATGAATTCCCTTACATTTCTCAAGGTATATCTCGGTCTTCACTTTTGTACTTTGGCGTTCGGAAAGGTGGTTGGAGACTCGAAGAATATCCCATCAGAGTGCATGTCGTTGGGAGACGTGCTATTGTTAGTGTTGTGGAGGGATACAGAATCCGAGTCGATCTGTCCGACACCAAGTCAAGTGCGATCCTTGGAGTTGAAGCTTAATCGCTCACCGGGATGGTGGGTAGAAGTCCCAGTGCGTATGCATGCTCATTGCGAGAGCCGTTCAGCTGATACTCTATTTTTTAGGCATTTTATGAATAGTGCGCTATTGTTCCATGGTCAGCTGTGTGACCTACCCCACTTGTACCGACCCCATTCATTTTTTGCGGTAGAACTTCTAATTATTGCAAGTTATCTGTGATACATACACTTAAAATGAGACTGAACAATATATCGATATTGTAAACGAACACTGCGGAAGGACTGAAAGACATCCATAACGCCACGTGATGACTCGGACTTGCATTCGTCGATTCGTCCGCTCTCAGCCTCAAAGAACGTCTTCCTATACTTGCCACTGACCACTTGTCAGCTTCACTTGCGTCGACCAAGGCAAAACACCAGCGAATCTGTAAAGGGATAGTATGGCAGCAAAAAAGTATTGTATGGGAGGTGGTGGTCCAGTTCGTCACATTAGTTTTTCCACGTGTCATAGCCTTCGCAGGGGAAGACTATTTGAGGTTCATAAACGCCCAGGGCACTGCAATGCACAGCTGTTGTGCCACGCATAAGAGGCGTGGCAAGCGATATACATAGACGACATCGGCGCCTGAGTTCAATTGGTCACTTGGTCACTAACCTCTTGGTATGATCAAATCTTATATGAACACACAGTGCCATGGAATTGATGATTGTCTTTAGCAGGTAGTGATTGTGCTCGAGGTGGCCACAGTTATTATCAATAACGGGCCTGCAGTACAAGTACAGTAGACCTTGCTGTCGCTCTTTAAACGTGTCCAAGGAATCTCTGGCACGTACCTGGCTCTTTCTTTCTTGATTGAAAAGACACAGGTCATGGCGTCCACGTTAACGCAATCCAACACCGCAAACACCACAATGTTTCTGGCACCGGCAATGACCTTACGAGGTCATGAAGACCAAATTCGTTCTATATCCTACTTTCCGAAAGGCAAGCGAATGATCAGCGGATCTGATGATCTTACCGCTCGGCAATGGGACATGCAAGTGGGTAAAGAGATTCCCAAGTTGCGGGATGTTTGTAAGCGGCAAATCCGTGCGGTAGCAGTTTCCAGGGATGGTCGATGGGTTGTCACTGGTGGTTCACATTCTGGTCGCGGGGAGCTCAAAGCGTGTGATGTTCAGACGGGCATCGTCAAGACATTTGAAGGCCACTCAAAAGAAACTTATTGCATTGATATATCTACAGATAGCACGTTGCTTGTGAGCGGGGCAATCGATCGCTCGGCTCATATATGGAGCTTGGAGACCGGAAAATTGGTGGCTGGACCATTCACAAGTCTTCAGGGTCTGGGCGCAGTTCGATTCTCGCATGATTCGAAGAAACTTGCAGTAAAGTCAGATGTGGGGAAGTGTCTTGAGGTATGGGGCGTGCACACACAGAAGTTGGACGTCAGAGCAGGAACGTTTGGTTACGATCCCATGTCATATGCATCCGTGTTCTGGACAAAGAAGACACAATCTCGGCATCGACTTTCAAACCTTTGAGGAGCTCTTACAAGTTCTGCAGCAACATGGATATGCTCAGTCGCGCAACGGCATCACTATCGAAGAGCAGCTAGGTATTTTCCTGTATACGTGTGTTACAGGACTGTCGTCTCGCCATGTTGGTGAGCGATTTCAGCGTTCTCCAGACACGATTACCAGGTAAGTATGTCAATAATTCAAGATAAACTGTGCGCTGATGATTTTCACAGATATTTCAAACGCATGCTCACTTTCTTCTCGTCCCCTCCCTTCTACACTACAAATGTCCGGCTCCCAACCGAAAACACTCCCATTTCTGCGGCAATCCGCGACGACCCACGCTTCAGATTCTTCGATCAATGCATTGGTGCCATTGACGGCACTCACATTCGGGTCTTTGCACCACTCGAACATCACACCGTCCTGCGCAACCGAAAGGGATTTTTATCCCAAAATTGTCTATTCATATGCGACTTCGACTTCTACTTCACATACTCACTCACAGGCTGGGATGGCTCGGCTGCCGATGCCAGTCTATGGAACGACGCACGGTCTCACGATTTGCGCATGCCTGCGCGCAAATATCTTCTCGCTGACGCAGGCTTTGGTACTTGCGATGCGCTTCTCGTACCTTATCGAGGCGTACGCTATCATTTGAAGGAATGGCGTCAAGCAAATCTCATGTGAGTTCATTCGTTCTAGTGTTTTTATTTCTATTAAATTATTTTCTACTAGGCCACGAGATCCAAAAGAATTGTTCAATCTTCGACACGCAGCACTTCGCAATATCGTCGAACGGATCTTCGGTGTGTTGAAGCGCCAGTGGCGCATCTTGATGATCCCACCGGAATATAGCTTGCACATTCAGGCCCGCATCCCTGCAGCGCTGTGCGCCATTCACAACTTCGTACGCAGGTACAACCCTGACCTGTTTGATGTTGCCCTCGAACATGAGTATGATCTTGCGGAGGACGACGCTGTAGGACATGGGGCGCTCTCTGAAGGACCGGCGGATCCTGCTGAGAGGAGACGAGCGGATGCTCGTCGGGAGGCAATTGCAGCAGCAATGTGGGCCGACTATATCGAGGAACGTGAGCGAAGGGGGCTCCCATTGCCTTAGAAGTACTATACTAGTAGGATCATACAATCTATGTACAATATATACATTTGCAAGACGTCCGAGACAAACCGAGTGCAAGACGTAGAATAGATAGAAAGACAAACTGAGCAGAAGACGTCCGAGACAAACCGAGCGCAGGACGTAGAATATATTGAAAGACAAACCGAGCAGAAGACGTCCGAGACAAACCGAGCGCAGGACGTGGGACAAAACGAGCGCAAGACAACACTTGATATTTGAGACAATTGTTGAAACAAAATGATATATAGTATAGTACGCTATCAGACTACCATATGCTCCTGCGAGTCAGCTGATGCCTGGCGTGGTGCGCCACCACAAAGCACTCGCTTCTCCTCCAACCACTCAAGCCTTGTTGCCTCATCCAACGAGTAGAAAATGATGGCTTGGTTCTCGTGTTCGGCTAGGAAGTTGGCAATGGCGAGGCGCTCTTTGCTGGTAAGGTTTGTGCACTTGTTGAGCAGGGCGATGGCGCTCCCAACATGCGTTCCAGGCTGCACTGGCTGTGGCATTGGGAGCAGCGGAGGAGCTAGTGTGAAATTCTTCTGCATCTCGCGCACTACTTCTACAAGATTTTTCATCGTCTCAGTACCCTCCTGTTGTGCCATTAATGTGGCAGACGGTGGACGGTTTCGCTTCTGGGAGCTTGTGGCTGAGCCAGGAGCAAGTGCACTGTACTTACGTTTGCTACGGCTGATGCTCGTCCATGCTGAGTCTGTGGTGGAACCTTCAGTAGAGGGTGCGAGATAGGTGGATGGAACAGGTGGCTCGATGGAATCTGGATTGATTGATGATGGTGGAGGCGCTGCACTTGGTGCAGCGCTCTCTGTTGCTGGGGGAACTGAGGTTGAGACAGTTGTTGTGGTGGGCCGGAAAACATGTGCGCCCTTCGACTGGTTTGGCATTAACTGCTCCATGATCTCAAAGTGATCAAAGCCCTTTGACATAAAGGGCTTTGCATGAGGATGTGACTGAAGATAATGTCATTAGAGAGCATGCGATCTATTGCAGTACTGACCTTGGTAAAACGCGCCCAGACATCATCCTTTCGATCGGCAATACCTGCTCCATGCTCATCACTCCAGGTGAATCCTGAAGTGCACTTGATCTCAATGACACTATGATATGCTTTCTTGAACTACAAAAATATATGATGTCATTGGCGGTGGCGGAAAAGTTCACTAGACGTACCGCTGTCCATTTATTCTTACAAACTACACCAGTCTTTTCTGCACCTCTCTGCTGCGTAAATTTCTCCTTAAGGTGCGTAGCTGCCTGATTGAAAGTGGTTGTCTTGAAGCCCCCGTCGCCTGAGGAAGGAAGGGCCTTCAAGAGGAACTCAAGAAAGGCGGTCTCCTCTGCCTTTGACCACACTGCAGGCGCCTTACGGGATGTTCCAGATGCTGCTGCTGCTTCAATGGTACCTCGAGAGCGTAGGGAGTGTGAGGATCCGCTGCTGGATCTATCAGACATTTCGATAATGATAATACAATGATCAAAGGTGCGTATCTACGTTAGTCAGTTGTTGACAGGCTGGCAACACGTGCCATGATTCATCACGTGTTGTTTTGAGCTCAGATTTTCGAACCAGGGTTCGCTGTCCAAACAGCACCTTAGCATCTTCACAGCCCAGTGCACACAAAAACTCAAGCCTCGCTGATTTACTAAAGGTATGTGCAATACATACATCCCATTCTTCTACTCATCATGCTACCCATTGCAACTGTTGCAGTCTGATGCAACCCGCCGTCCTCGTAACCCAGTGACTATTTCGTACCCCCCTAGGCCAAGACCTACACCTACAGTAGACCCACAATCATCCATTTTCGTCCGCCGCTTCCGCAAACTCCTTCGATTGCCTCCTCGTGCGAATGCAGTTTCGAACAATCAGCCTCGTGACCCCCTAGATGTATGTCTTTTGATCTTTTTTTTTCGCCGCAGTTGACTCGAAGATCACTTTCCAGTTCCCTGCTACATCTGCCCTACCTCCCAACCACTCCTTCTTAGCCCAGGCAACAAACGTTAGTCTTCACTTTCAGTTGATTAGCAGTCCATGACTAAATGCGTATCCAGTTAGAAACGAATTCTCCCCGCCACGCGAGCGACCTTAAGCAGTTCCTGCGGCAGCACCTTTCCTTTCGGCGAAGGCCCAGCCACGAACCACCTGAAATTGAAGTCGCACCCGGACGCAAGTTCACTGTAACGTAGATCTTCCTGCTTCTTACCTTGGTGCTGATTGAAGCTCTTCAGCGGCTTGCAGCTGCTAAGCTACCAGAATACAAGAAAGCCAATGATACTCGACGTCCATCTGGACAGCAGCCTGTCGCGTCGTCGTCCACGGCCGCAAATGACCCACCGTCCGAGTCGTCTGACCTGGATTCTCTTCCAGACGTACACTGGTGCAAGGCGTTCTTCTGCTACTACTCGTGCTGGTCTCATGGAAGGCTGAGGATGCCTCCACGATGGCGCTTGGAGCGGGTTTACCCACTCCAGCAGGCTGGCACGACGAGTGGCAGTGGTGGAGGAGCTCATGGTCGCAGTTAGCTCCATGATCTACAAAACTCACCCTGCAACACATTTCAATGGATCTCGACAAATCTCTGTTGCGCCATGCGCCATCAGAGAAACCTTCCCTCTGACGCAAAATTGAGGCTACTCAATCAAAATTAACACTAGTTAACTCCAAGTCAAAGTGACAGTCATGGTATTGTTCACGATCGTAGTTTGCTTATTGAGCACCAATCGTGATTTTCTGCAACTGATATGATTTCATACCTCTGTACGATTCAGGTATATACATTTCGAATGGCGTACTTTCAAAACGGTTGAGATATAACAACCATTCATGGCTTCTTCATTGAGTCTTGTATACTGCATGTGGCGACTACATAACCATAAGATTTGTAAATGTAACATTCTACCCAACGTTGTTGTATACCACATCATTACATCTCTATTCCGCCTCGCGATAATACCAAACCATCCCTCCTGCCCACACCATTAAGATGCCCTAGAACCAAATATCACTATTTTTATGGCGGAGGTCATTTACAATTTCTTGAAAGGCTCTGAGGGAGTCTCCCCTGGCGTCCAGGAGATCAAATTGATATAAGGTGCCATTCTCTGCTTTGGGGAGAAAGTCGGGGATGTTCAACGAGGGAAGAACAGACTGGACGTCCCCCTCCTCTACCACGGAATTATCAGACGATGGTACTCGCGGTCCAGTGCCGCGCCAAGTTGGATCGCGCATCTCTGACATTGTGCGAGAAACTAGCGTGCCACGGTTCACAGTGCTGTACACCCAACGACGACCTGCAGCTATGAGGACTCCCAAGTATTTCAGAGTACGATCAGCCTCAAATGCATGAAGAACCTGTTCCTGTACTTGATCCTTCCAGATAGTTTCCCATTTGAATACCCCACCGGCATATGACTGCGGTTTGATTTCAACTATCATAATAACCCGGCGGATTACATGACCAGGAATGACTGGGAAGGGCTGTTGTGCATGTTCGAGCATTTGCACAAAGTCCGGAATTCTGGTAGATGCATTTGACAAGGTGGTGGTCGGTCTGGGTGGAGTTATTGGGAAAGTACCATCCGATGGATATGGATACGGATATGACGACGACGACGAAGATTGAGGCAGCGGATGGGCGCTGACAGGATTGTTGGAAACATTCCCAGCACGACGAGCCTGCATACGAGTGACGTGCTGCGTAGTCGGACTGTCAGGGGATGGTTCACGACGACGAAAATCTGGGTACACAGGGCTAGGTGTCAAGGAAGGTAGTGGTCCTCCGAAAATTGCCTGTGATTGAGGACTGAAATTTGGGCTAGGGTTGTAGGGCACAGGTGGTGGTCCCGGAAGGGGGCCCCCTGGAGTCATCAAATGCCGATCTGAAGAATGGCTGCCCATGGATATGTCAGAATCGGACCAACCGGAGCCACCACTCGGCGGCGAGCGGCCGGAATCATGGGATGCAACGAGGGAGTATTGTGGAACACATGTACATGATGTTCGTGATGCGTCCGCCCCGGCAAAAATATAATTTTGGAGGACTTTAGCCCACACTCCATACCAGGGGCATTCCCTTGTGTCTGCCTGAGCAGCCCGGATAGATAAGGCGAGGGAAAAATCACGCTCATTCTGGATGCTCATTGAATGGGAGCTCGGTGGAGTCTCTTGTGTGGCCCCTGCTCCCGCCACCAATCGCTGATATTGTAGTGGTGAGCAGTAGTAAGAACGACTTTATATTCACTTACCGGCAATGACGTAAAAGTGGACGTCCAGGCACTCTGGGTTGGTTGATGCAGTGTAGCTGGATTGTTTTGATTGCTAAATCTTTGAGAGTAGGTAGGTCGGTGAAGCGAAGATGGTTGCAAAGCTGGTTCTCGAGGTTGACGAAATGACATGACTGGAGAGCCACTAGAATTGCAGTTTACTATGGGCTGCACTTGTGAATTTATACCTACAACACTAAGATTATTCAGACATTTCAAAGTCACATCGATCCTTGATAACCGGCCGCGGTGGAGATAAGTAGTCACAGGTTGCAGTAAACCGTTATCGATTATTGCATGAACTTTGAACTTTTTCGACACCGCCCAAGAATGTCCACTTACAATGATTCTTACTCCATTGAGTACGATCGGCCCAAACCTTGTTCTTTTCATTCGATGTGGGTTTCCAGCTGTGACGCTAGAGTGATGTTCGATTTACGATGGCCCATGACTACCATCATGTATCACTGATAGGTCTCGGCGCCATCCGTCCTTGGTGCCTATAGTGATTTCTGCACCGTCAAGCATACTTAATAGCGACCTTGTCCGTTTTATTCTGGGCCTGGGACCAACGGTGAATTGTGGCAAATGACAGTCAAATCTACATCACTAACACCGTACATCAGCTTCGACGCCACCCATAGGCCACCTCGCCCACCGTGATTTTTCCGATGAGTCAGTTACGTTCGTATGACCTTCCTTACCAATATGGCGTCCCTTGCCACGAGCAACGGACATTCTGCAAAATCGAAAACCTCTGATATCAGTCAGTCACATTTTGTGAGAAGTCAGATAAGCTATCCGAAGTTACAGTTCCTTGAGGAATAGTTAGTAACTTGCGCCCCTAACTTGAATTAAAGTCACTGTACGGTGCCGTAAACGGACAACGAACAACGATTCAAAAAAAAAATACCCGTGCTTCGCAGAGTCTAGAGAGAAAAGAAGACAAAAAATAGGTATTGTCTGATGTGTCGCTAGAATGAATGAAATTCAAATATATAGCCGAGGCATAATCGTGAACTCACTGATGGATATACGAACATGAATTTAGACCATACGAATTCTGCAATACTAAGTGCCCACTAGTGGACTACAGCCGCATCCAAATCATTCAAGTCCGTGATTCTTACTCCATCGAGCAAACAAACAATATTTGGGTGTTGTCCAGCCACATCAGTCACAGTGGCGTGGGCGTGTGCCAAAGTATTACATATTGACCAATTTCGTTTTGTTCGTTGACAAAACACTTCTCGAAAATGCCCTCTACTGCAAGCCAACTTGAGCGAAGCCTTAGAAAACTTCAGGTGGGTACCTCGTCAACTTTCTACTGTCCTACGTGTACTGCCGCTCATTTTGTTCAAAGATCTCAGAGTCTGGCTCACAAAACACGTCTACCGCGGTGACATGGGTGCCCTCTAAATATAGCTCAGACGTATCTCAGTACGTTCTGGTGAAGCCTCCCCGGGCTCCATGCGGAAATCGTTGGCTATTTGGATTTCCTATCACCAGGAAGGAACTTTGGGACATGGGGACCATTGCTTTCCACCATGTTTGGCCAGGCGAAACTTTACCAGACAACAATGCCTACATCGCCATGAATTCCCTCACATTTCTCGAGGTATATCTTGGTCTTCGCCTTTGCACTTTGGCGGGTGGAAAGGTGGTTGGAGATTCGAAGGATATCCCATCGGAGTGTGTGACATCGGGAGAGGTGCTGTTGTTAGTATTGTGGAGGGATACGGAACGTGAGGCTACCTGTCCAACGCGAGATCAAGTGTATTCCGTGAAGATGAAGCTTAAGCGCCCACCGGGATGGTGGGTAGAAATCCCAGTGCGTATGCATATTCATCTCGAGAGCCCTTGAGCTGACATACTTGCACTTTTGTTAATTGGGCGCAGCTATTTTGACGCGGCCACTGGCGCGCCATTAATGCAAGTATTCCTATATGTTCTACATTTGACTCTCAGATCAGGTTGCATGGTTCACGATCATTCCCTTGTAATTTTATACATCATAGAGACATGCACAACTAGTACATCGACCAATGACTATTTTATTTTCCTCCCTCTCTGGACCCTCCGAGTCGACATCTAACGGGCGCGTATTCTTCAGCCAGCAGAGAACTATGTACAACTTGGAATTCCAACTTTAACAGCATGCTATTGTTCTGTTCCTCGTTTCGAGCTTTGACGCGTTTTTTGACATCACTAGCCTTTCAACGCGCAACGACGTAGGCGTGACACTTGAAGACACCATAATCATCTGTGAATGCCTAGTCTAGGGTTCCGGGAATTTGCACCAGGCAAATTTGCCCGGCAAATTTACTGCGTCAATTTCACACCCTCGAAAACATAGTGTCAATTTGGGTGAATTCGTGTCTACTGTACCCAGAACACCTGAAAAGCTAAAATCCGATATACTGGACAATCCTGACGTGCAACAGTCCTACTTGGGGCAGACAAGACATTGCAACATTAACAGAAACCATTCAAATTCGCCAGTGGCACCACTGGAAACCTGATGTAAGTTGCCTTTGCTCGTTTGGACTGTTAAGAGACTCCTGTAGTACATCTAATTCAGTCAGCAGCATCAAAAACGGCTCCTTCAGTCAGATGGCGCGATATGCATGCAACCAACCATCCTCGGTGGTCAACAACCTGAGAAGTCAACGGTCGTTCCGCCACCTGCCCGACCACCTATGAAACAAGATATCACATCAACTTAGCATCCGAGTCAGGATTCCTTCTCGATATTCTCTCAGACCAGCCTGTGCAGCTTGAACCAACCGTTTTCATGAGTCATGGACCCCCATCCAAGCTGACGGCTGACACTGCAACTTCATTGATGATACCAATGGATGACTGACGAGTGGGAGTCTGCGGAGTAGATTACAGTCAATTAGGTGAAATTCACCTGCAAATTAACGCAAAAAGCCAGAGCTTTCGGGGGCTCTGCCACCAAACCCTCGTCAGTAAATTTGCGTGAATTTCGTGTCATTCACACCTGTAAATTTGGCCCTCGCAGCATGCTAATTTGCCGGTCAACCAGACGCCATAGTACGTACATACCTTAATTCCCGGAACCCTAGCCTGGTCACGACAGCGGCTGCGCTGCTTGAAATGATGCACACCATGGTTATGCGAACATGAATGCAAACCATAAGAATCCAATGCTATCAGTGGACTTCTATGTAGCATTGGCCCAGCGTCCAGACTCCAGACTCCACCGTGTGGCGTCACAGCCGCATCCAAGTCCGCGATTCTTACTCCATCGAGCAAACAATGGGTGTCCAGTCACATTAGTGGCGTATGCCAAAATATTATGATATTGATTGGATATTGACCAAGTTCGTTTTGTTCGTTGACAAAACACTTCTCGAAAATGCCCTCTACTGCAAGCCAACTTGAGCGAAGCCTTAGAAGACTTCAGGTGGGTGCCTCGTCAACTTTCATCTGTTGTACGCGTACTGTTACTCATTCTTTTTCAAAGATCTCAGAGTCTGACTCACAAGAAACGTCTACCGCGGTGCAATGGGTGCCTTCTAAATACAGCTCAGACGTATCTCAGTACGTTCTCGTAAAGCCTTCCCGGGCTCCATGCGGCAATCGCTGGCTGTTTGGTTTTCCTATTGTCAAGAAGGAACTTTGGGACATGGGGACCATTGCTTTCAAGCAAATTTGGCCGGACAAAACTTTACCAGACAACAATGCTTACATCGCCATGAATTCCCTTACATTTCTCGAGGTATATCTTGAACTTGACGTTTGTACTATGGCATATGGAAAGGTGGTTGGAGATTCGAAGAATATTCCATCGGAGTGTGTGATATCGGGAGACGTGCTGTTGTTAGTATTGTGGAGGAATACGGAATCTCAGGCTGCCTGTCCAACACAAAGTCAAGTGCATTCCTTGGAGATGAAGCTTAAGCGCTCACCGGGGTGGTGGGTGGAAGTTCCGGTGCGTATACGTGTTCACTTCGAGAGCCATTCATTGACATCCTTGCATTTTAGCAATTTTGATGAAAAATAATTTGCCCACCCATGGCGCCACAACGCGGCACAGCGCCAAATAGCACGAGTCGCTCGATCATCTTATCAGTGGATAATTATAAGCTACTGGATTCGCAGGACAAAATCTTCATCTTATGCAATTTATTCAGTAAATTTGTCTCTTTGTCGCTCCTAGCATTCGCGACCCCCTCGAGTCATCAAAAGAGAGAAAATACAGGAGCCTTGACAAGACGACGACAATTTTACTTCAACTCTAACTTCACGATACACGCATCGTACTAGGAGTAACTTATAGCATGCACTAGTACCAGTACTACTTTGATACTACTGCCGGTTCTGCATCCTTCGTGTTAGTAGCTAACTAGTAGGTACCTTCTCATGACTCGTTGTCAGGCGACTTTCCTTTTCAGAGACTCGGAGGGTACTGCCAGTGGTACTTGGCCTTGTCGCGGATCAGGCTTTGTTTGTCGGTGTGAGTGCTCCCTTCCTTTTTTTCAAATTGTCACTCAAAATTATGAAGTTTTAGCCGGACTTGTTCCCGACCTTGAGTCAATATCATATATATGATAGGTGGGCGGCATTCGAACAGCTATGGCTCAAAGAAGATGCTGAGCTTACTACTGCTGGCGGCCATTCAGTTGGAATTCTACCCCGAAGCGAGGTACAAGTGTATCCAGCGGCCGTGCAGCACCGTGACGTGGCTTCCCCGCCTACCACACAGCTGCCAGGCTACACTCCAGCAAGTTCTGGGGCCGCTGTCTGCAGCCTGCCGCATTTCGGTTTTTCCTTTTCCTCTAGTACCACTCCCTTTCCTTTGCAGCCTACGTTACAATTTTCTACAATACTTATTCAACTTGAAGTTCCTCGGCTACATAGTCACATTCCTACTACTGGGCCCGGGTGGCTGGCACCCGATCATGCTAGGCCTGAGGCTGCCGACAGCGGCTGCGCTGCTTGAAATGATGTGCGTTATGATCATACGAACATAAATGCAAACCATAATAATGCAATACTACCAGTGGACTTCTTCTGTGTACCATTGGCCCAGCATCCAGACTCCAGGACCATTGGCGTTGTCACAGCCGCATGCAAATAATACAAGTCCGTGAATCTTACTCCATCAAGTAAACAATGGGTGCGACATGATTAATTGATTGTCCAGTCACATCAGTGGCGTGGACGTGTGCCAAAATATTATATTGGCCGAGTGGAACTTCAGTTGACGAAACACTTCTCGAAAATGCCCTCTGCTGCATGCCAACTTGAGCGAAGCCTTAGAAAACTTCAGGTGGGTGCCTCGTCAACTTTCATCTGTTGTACGCGTACTGCTACTCATTTTGTTCAAAGATCTCAGAGTCTGACTCACAAAAAACGGAAACGTCTACCGCGGTGCAATGGGTGCCCTCTAAATACAGCTCGGACGTATCTCAGTACGTTCTCGTAAAGCCTCCCCGGGCTCCATGCGGCAATCGTTGGCTGTTTGGTTTTCCTATTGTCAGGAAGGAACTTTGGAACATGGGGACCATTGCTTTCCACCATGTTCGGCCAGGCAAAACTTTACCAGACAACAATGCCTACATCGCCATGAATTCCCTCACATTTCTCAAGGTATATCTCGGTCTTCGCGTTTGCACTTTGGCAGGTGGAAAGGTGGTTGGAGATTCGAAGGATATCCCATCGGAGTGTGTGACATCGGGAGAGGTGCTGTTGTTAGTATTGTGGATGGATACGGAACGTGAGACTACCTGCCCAACGCAAAGTCAAGTGCATTCCCTGGAGATGAAGCTTAAGCGCCCACCGGGATGGTGGGTAGAAATCCCAGTGCGTATGCATATTCATCTCGAGAGCCCTTGAGCTGACATCCTTGCAGTTTTGTTAACTTATGAATATTCCGCTATCGATCCATGACTGGCTGTGATAATACCCTACCCATTTGTACCAATTCATTTGTTTTCTGCGATAGAACCAATCACTCTTGTACTTTAGATACGCTCAACATGACACAGAACGATACATCCGTTGGGCCTCTGGGTTGTCGTTCGCGGTACAGCTAGCGCTGTGATTGTCTACCAAATTGAGACCCTGCGCCTTGGCCCGCCGCCGGGTAAACTGATCTAACTGAACGATTTGACTGAAGGGTTCACAAAATGACTTTGCTTAGCTTCCAGTTCACGAAACATGTGTCGTAGGAGTGACTTCTAACTTATACTACAATCCAGTGGCTTTGCCAGTTCTGCAGCCTTCGCATTACACGGCAAAACACGTAGTTTGTAAACCAAACATAGCGCGAAAAGGATAATTCAGGTGTACGGCAGAAGCCAACCTTGGTGTACTGTCGAGATACGCACCTAGGTTCGACCGAATCTGGGTGTGACCAAATGAACATTAGTTCGAAGGTTCGCAGGGGGGTGTGACGCGTGACACACTGCGCTTAGGTTCGACGACCAATGTTGGGGTAGACACATTCCCTTGTATACATGCAGCGCTAAGGGGCCGCGGTGATCCTCATGACCCGCGGCTGGAGATGCTCACCTCAAGAGCTTTGTCTCTAATTTGACTTCCGTCTGGCAACATGGCAATGTCTTCTCGCTATGTTATGGTAAAGTCTTGTCAGTGTGGATCCTCCAATGTTTGGCGAGCGAGCCATAGCTCAGTCCACGAGATGGACATGGTCTGAAACATTTCCCGTCCAAGTTTTCCACACCATGCCTGATCTCCATGTTGCCTCAGAGGCTAAATTCCAGGATGTGTTATCTGTGCCTGCACAGTTCTCAATTGCTCCTTCGGGCAGCCTTTCCGTCGCTGCATTACTGCTTATCAACCTGCCTACAGTGTTAGAAAACAGCGCTTCAGCTGCTAGAATTGTTTTTTCCAAACAGTCCCCTTTGCTCCAGTTGCCCACGGACTTTGTTTCACGACCTGTTCCGCCATTTCAAACAGCCTCGTCCCTTCGCAATCGTGCTAGAGGTGCATTTCGAGATGGAGATAAATCAGTGATCCATCCTTCATTCCCCAATGACCCACTTCCAATGTGGGTCATGTCATACTGGGTCGCTATGTCGCATGCACTCGAGAATCAGCGTGATTGGCGCGCATCCCATGACTGGGTCTACGACAGATTTGATGTTGTTCCTACTGACGGACAAGAGTTGGAAATTATTGACGAGGTTCTAGATGTCTTAGAGAGCCTTCCATGGGATGCCCCTCTCAAGGGATTCGGTGCTCAGACAGATCTGAGGAGCACCGAGCTCCAACCGCTGTTAGGATCATGTCCAATTCACGGTCGTGTTTTGGACAGCATGATTGCTGTAGTGGTCCAGCATATGCAAGCATCAGAGGATGAAGACCTCCAGTCTGTTTCGGTCGAATCTCTTGACTTTGCAGATATCCTTCGGCTTAGCGATAAACAGTGGAAGAGCTACGAGACGGACAAGGCTTTTGTTCACCTTCGTACCATTGGCTCTGCATTACGCGAGGGTGCACTTCATCGTATCCTCCTTCCCATCAATATCGACAATGTTCATTGGGCTGTTATCGAGGTCGATGCTACAAACCAAAGCATCTCCTATGCCGACTCCCTTGGCTGGAGTTGGCCTAACGAAGACATTGATGCCATACATCGTTGGCTGGGCTATCATGGTTTTGCCAAATTCAACCGGGCGACCACACTCCAGCACGGCAAACAGCTCGACTCGTTCTCATGTGGTATCGCAGCTCTAAACACTATCAAGCATGCCTTGTTTCAAGATCCGTTGTTCACTGCCAATAGAGCTTTTTCCCTCCGTATGGAGGAATTTCTTAATATCGTTTATGATCACCTCGAGGTATGGATATCTCATTCCCGGTGACGCAAATCTGAGACTCACTCTTCATGTGTTGCAGCTCTCCGATCCCAACGACGACCCAAATGACAGCTCATATTCAGACAGTGATGATGTCGAGATACAAGAAACTCAGCTACCATCCCCCCCAACTCTGCCTACGCATCATCCACAGCAAAAACCAAAACTCAACCTCCGTGCCACCAATGCAGATCTGAGCACCGGTCTGTTCAAGTTTTTCTCGACGGTTTCACGCGATGAGCATTTAAAGCTTGCCTGGAAGCCTTCCACTCGGGAGCTCAAGGACCGGGATCAGCAGGAGCAGGCCCGTTGCCAGGAAAAGTTCGATGTGTTTGAGAAGGCTGCTCGAAAGCGTGAAATGGCAGCTGAACGTAAGAGAAAACAGCAAGCCCGTGAAAAAGATGCCAAGCAGGTAAGCATAACTTTCATTCCTATCGCCGTGCTTTATGTCTCACGTGGCCTGTCATCAGAAACCCACCGTAGAATCTGTTCTTCATGATCATACTCCCCAACCGCTAGCAGTCACCATTGCTGAGGCTTCACGTCCATACCGTCAATTGCGAAGGCATGCTCGCAGCATGCAAAAATGTAACTCGGGCCGGAAGCGCAAGCGGGAGGACACAGAGGCTCGTCATGTCAACTGGCAGAGCCCTCTTTTATGGCCGACCATCGAAACAGCTGCCATTCGTGTCGGCTATGGAATGTCACCGATTGAGATTGAGCGCGAGCTTAAGCGAGTCGATCCCTCCCGCTTTCATGGTATTTCTGCCCAAGTTATAGGAAGGTGGATTGACCAAAGTGGGACACGGCCAGTATGGCGTGCCAGTGTCCTCGCTCGTGTTCAAAAGGGCAACCTTCCCTTGACGACTGCAACACCACCAGGCATCCTTGCAAAGTATCCTGAAGTCACGAAGACCATCATCGAAGATCTCCGTGCTCTGCGTGCAGTTGGCGTGGCTTTGGATACAATGCGTTGTCGTGGTGTAATCATTGCTCGCATCACTGTCTCTTGCCCAGAAATCTTCGAGGCCACCGCCAAGGATGGCTCAAAATTTCGATGTACTGAGTCTTGGGTCAAGAAATTCGTACATCGAACTCTCAATTGGACATTCCGTCGTGCCACTCGCGCTGCACAAAAGACCCCTTCCAATGCTGATCAACTCTGTCTGGACCAATTTTATCGTCTGACCTTAACTATCCGTGATTGTGCGATCTTCGATGCTTCCTTCTATGTCAACATTGACCAGACCAACATCGTGTATCAACCTGCGAACACCGCTACTTACGAGGAAGTTGGTTCCAAGCAAGTCGCAGTGATTGGACAGGAAGAAAAACGAGCATTCACTGTGCTCGTTGGCATCTCTGCCTCTGGGGATGCTCTTCCATTCCAGGTCATCTATTGTGGCAAAACTGCTCGTTCACTCCCCTCGAAAACCACACAACAATTCAAGGACGCACAAGACTTGGGCTTTGAGCTGTGCTTCTCCAACACCGATACCTATTGGTCAACATTCCAGCTCATGTGCGATTATGTTCGCAATATTCTAGTTCCCTACTGGACAAGGCAGAAGGAGCTCGTTGGGGCTCCTGATGACCAGGAATGTATCCTACAGCTGGATGTTTGGTCAGTACACAAGTCTGTGCAGTTTCGCACTTGGCTTGATCAGCAGTACCCATGGATCAAGTACCGCTTTGTTCCTGGCGGCTGCACCGGAATTGCTCAGCCATGTGATGTTGGCGTCCAACGCCCATTCAAGCTTGCCGTCAAGCGATCTCAACATGCTGATATCGTTGAGGAATCTCTGACATTGCTGAAGAAAGACGAAGCTGCACATGTCATCCGACTCGACACAACATTACCCACACTCCGTGATAGATCTTTACAGTGGCTCATCAACGGTTACCATGCTATCAACAAGCCTGATGTGGTCAAACAGGTATGTCACTCGCATTGTCCTCGTTTTACTCATGGATGTTAAAACACTCCTGCAGTCGTTTTTTCAGTGTAAGGCTGGTACAACATTCAATCTCTCGTTCGAGAGCCTCACCAGTCGTGAAGCGCTTCATGCACTACGTGATGTGCAAAAAAACGACACCATGACTTGGGAACGCATCAAAACGGCTCAATATAAGACTCCCGAAGCCGACGAAGAAGTAGAGCCACCCTTCACGCATGCTGCAGATGTCGAGCTTGATCCTAGCGATGTTTTGGTGGATACGGTTCTGCAACACATTGCATTGGGTGAATCATCTGTCCCTCATGGCTATAGCACTGATGATTTGGGTAATTTGCTGGTGGACAACGAGTCGGAGAGCTATGAGCGAGGGGTACTGGATGACATGATAGGGCTCCAATCTACAGCTGATGGGTCTACAGAGGTTGAGGCTGAGGGCCGTGGCAAGCGCAGACGTGTTGCGAACACTCAGTACAAAGACTTTTGGATGCATTAGATGTTTTTTTTTGCGTTTTTACCACTTGTCACAATTTAGGTTCGACGGCCTCAGAGTTGGTGTGACCGTCACGAAAAATAGGTTCGATTCGCCAGGCGTGTGACGGTGTGACGAACCTAGGTGCGTATCTCGACAGTATTCTGAGCGAACTTCGCATGAAATCAAACACTATGTGTCTCACACCACTTTACGGATATTGTCCACATCGTGTATGCCAAAGTACTACATATTATAGTGGCTAAGTTTGTTCATTTACCTCTTCGACGAAAATGACCTCTACTGCAAGCCAACTGGAACGAAGTCTAAGAAAACTTCAGGTGAGTGACTTCTTAATCTACAATCAATTTGACGCGTACTGCTGCTCATTTTGTCCAAAGATCTCAGAGTCTGACTCACAAGAAACGTCTACCGCGGTGCAATGGGTGCCCTCTAAATACTACAGCTCAGACGCATCTCAGTGCGTTCTCGTAAGGCCTCCCCGGGCTGCGTGCGGCAACCGTCAGCTGTTTGGTTTTCCTCTTATCAAGAGCGAACTTTGGGACATGGGGACCTTTGCTTTCAAGAAAATTTGGCCAGACAAAACTTTACCAGACGACCATTTCTTCATCGTCATGAATTCCCTCACCCTCCTTAGGGCATATCTCGGTCTTCGCGTTTGTACTATGGCGTTCGGAAAGGTGGATGAAGGCTTAAATAATATCCCATCGGAGTGCGTATCGTTGGGAGAGGTGCTGTTGTTAATATTGTGGAGGGATACAGAACCCGAGGCATCATGTCCAACGCTAAGTCAAGTGCATTTTGTGGAAGCGAAGCTTAAGCGCTCACCGAGATGGTGGGTGGAAGTCCCAGTGCGTATGCATACTCATTTCGAGAGCCGCTCAGCTGACCCTCTTTATTTTTTTAGCATCTTTGATGAACAGTGCGCCATCATTCCATGGCTGACTATATTACCTACCCCACTTGTACCAACCTCATTCGTTTTTTGCGGTAGAACTTATAACTCTTGCACGTCATCTGTGATACATACGCTCAACATGAAACCTGGACAATATATCGATATTGCGGACGAACACGGATGGACTGTAAGACTATTTGTATTCATAGCGCCATGTGATGATTTGTTTTCGTCGGTTCAGTCTCTGGTATTTCATTAAAGGATAACTTATGACTGCCTCAAAGAACATCTTCGTATACTTGTCGGACCACTTGTCAGTTTCACTTGCGTCCGCCGTCGATCAAGGCAAAACATCAGCTTGTCTAGAAAGAGATAGATAGTATAACACTTCTTGAAAATGCCCTCTACTGCAAGCCAACTCGAGCGAAGCCTTAGAAGACTTCAGGTGAGTACCTCGTTAAATTTCATCTGTTGTACGCGTACTGCTACTCATTTTGTTCAAAGATCTCAGAGTCTGACTCACAAGAAACGGAAATCTCTACCGCTGTGCAATGGGTGCCCTCTAAATACAGCTCGGACGTATCTCAGTACGTTCTCGTAAAGCCTCCCCGGGCTCCATGCGGCAATCGTTGGCTGTTTGGCTTTCCTATTGTCAGGAAGGAACTTTGGAACATGGGGACCATTGCTTTCCACCAGGTTTGGCCAGACAAAACTTTACCAGACAACAACGCCTACATCGCCATGAATTCCCTCACATTTCTCGAGGTATATCTTGGTCTTCGCCTTTGCACTTTGGCAGGTGGAAAGGTGGTTGGAGATTCGAAGGATATCCCATTGGAGTGTGTGACGTCGGGAGAGGTGCTGTTGTTAGTATTGTGGATGGATACGGAACGCGAGGCTACCTGCCCAACGCAAAGTCAAGTGCATTCCCTGGAGATGAAGCTTAAGCGCCCACCGGGATGGTGGGTAGAAATTCCAGTGCGTGTGCATATTCATCTCGAGAGCTTTTGAGCTGAGATCCTTGCAGTTTTGTTAACTTATGAATATCCCGCTATCGATCCATGACTGGCTGTGATACCCTACCCATTTGTACCAATTCATTTGTTTTCTGCGACAGAACCAATTCACTCTTGTATTTTATGTACAGTCAACATGACACAGAACGATACATTCGTTGGACCTGTGGTACAGCTAGCGCTGTGATTGTCTACCAAACTGAGACCCTGCGCCACCTTGGCCCGCCACCGGATAAACTGATCTAACTGGACGATTTGAATAATATTATGTGTTAATTTGGACTTCTATTATAGTTTGCTTTTCTTCTCTTTCGCAATCTCAAGCCTCAACGGCTGAGAATCGGCGACAAGTTTTCACAATCATATTCTCGAGTCCTAGATCATAGACGACAGGGGAAGACAGGCCTTTCTCCTCCTAATCATTGTACATACTACTGTGAGTACACTATCTGGTCTTTCAACAACATTATAGGCAGTAACATGGTCGATGTAGATGACCCACGCGGACCTGGTGACTTCCACCCTTGACATGGTAATAACGAAAATTTTAATCTCCTTCATGCGCATAATTGGACTTACAAACACAATGGCACAGGAAGTTTTTTCGATGGATGTGGACACTTTACATCCCAATGTTGAGGAAAGCCTGTACCGCTTGCGCGTAGGCAGTCAAGTGAAATACATCACCATCGAACCGGGAACATTCCCTAGTGATTTTTTGCCCTTTCCTATGGACCTCCTCCCCCTCCTCCCACATCTGCCGCCAGGTAATTGGGTTGAGGCGCGAGTGGCGCGAGACTCTAATGGCAATCCCACTGCGCAGCCCACGAACACCACACTACCAGAAGTGCGCGAGCAGTGGCATTTCAACAGAGTGGATGCCCTTTCACTACCCCTCGTTCAAATCATGACCCCACGTGTTCGGGTGGTCCAGTACGCTTCGAGGCCGGTGGTGGCCAAGATTACCAGGTTTGATTTTGAGATCCCGCGGATGGAAAGAGAAACTGCGGCGTATCGAGCGATCAAAGGGTGTGGCGTGGGCCCAGAATTCCTTGGGCACATCGTCGAAGGGGACAGGGTGATAGGGTTCTTAATAGAACAATTGCACGGACGACCGGCTGGTCCGGAAGACTTGCAGGGATGTCGCGATGTGCTGCAGCGCCTGCATGAGCTAAACATCATTCATGGGGATCCGAACAAACACAACTTCGTCGTGGCGTCGGACGGAACTGTCACATTAATCGACTTCGAGAATGCGATGCTGTGCAGGAGTGCTGAGCAGAAGGATGAGGAGCTCGCTACTTTGCCTGCCCAGCTGAGTGAGACAACAGGACGAGGTGGCGTGGCTCTGACACACTTAGCCTACTGAACGTATTCTTCGGCTTTTCAAGTGTGTAGTGGAAAACATTCGTCAAGTTAACCAACGCCGATGAAAGATATATAGCACTGTTGATAAAATTACAGCTGTGCCTAAATCCCTTGCAAGCGATCCTGCATGATATGACAACGCAGACACCACAGCAGGAGTGCCTGTATGCGCATGTGAGTCCGTTGCAGATGAGCTCGCATTCAAATGACTAAGAAATACATAGTCAAAGGTGTAGACACGAGTCACACAACGAAACCGAAACCGCGAACGCGTCTATAGGAGGTGACGTGCCACACGAGTTTTCTCTCGTGCGCTGGCCATACGCTACGGAACCTGCAACAAAGTCGGAAGATAAGCTGGCACAAGTCATATCTCAGCAACTGTCCTCTCGAATATCTCACCAGAAAATACTCAATAGTAATACTGAAACACTGACGAGACAATTTTATTTGACTTCACCTTCACAACACACGTATTGTAGGAATGATAACATTTAGCTTACACTTATACTGGCTAGCTTTGGCTGTTCTGCATGCAGCCTTCGCGTTAGTAACGCCATGAAGAGGATGTCAAAAGATTGAGGTACCTTCATGCACTGACGCATTTGTAGAGGAGCAGTGTCTTTCACGAGATGATTCTCGCAATAGTTTCCTGCCTGGCTCAACGGTTCCCTAGCGTACGAGGAACAACGGACGTTTGTACCTTGGCGTGCTTCGCATTGGACAAACTTTGAGTCCTTCTGGCATCCACAGGCATGTGGCGTGTAAAACATCGTACACACTGTGAGCAATCATTACTGTCAATCAAAAAGAAGAGACAGAGTGCACCGAACCACTGGTACTCACTGGTTGTTTGTTTCGGTTGGGCGGTCAAGTTACTGAGCTGATGGTAGCGCTGGAGTGGGCTCTGCTAAATGCGTGCGCTGGACTCTACAACGAAGTGATGCCTTGCTACTGCTGCCGGGACTCTACCTGCCTGCGCTCCAAACACCGCCAAAAAACCTCCATGACCTAACCTCCTCCCTAGGGGTCCCCCGCTCCAGCGCTGCTGACAATACCAAGCTTTTTTCTTTTTCAAATTGGAAGAATGATCCTGTGGGCGCTGACGGGATGTTTAAAAATCAGCTGCAGCCTGCGGATAATCGATAGCTTCTTATCAATCACTGATCTAAGAATCAGACATAATCAGACGGTGTCAGACAGACAGATAGAAGAAAGAAGATGGTGGTTCCATCAGATGATTCGTGAAACATCTTTCAGGGTAAACCTATTCAACCTCCATCAAGCCAAACTCCATTCAGGTTGTTCGCGTCTTTACCGAGTTCCCTTCCTTGTCTAGAAGAAAGTAAGGGTTCCTTGTGTCCCTGATCTGTCGCGCGTCCAGTGTGACTGATCCACTGAAATGAGATACGCCACCGGATAAATGGATTTCACTGACTTTGGTTATTCATCACACATGCAGGACCACTTGACCCCTGCGTTCGTTAATGTTCAATGCACTGTTGAAAGCATATCGAAGTGGCTTGGCTCGAAGAACTGCATTGAATTGGCATCAAGCTTTCGCCAGTCTAGCACATTGATCTGACGATGGTCTCCCCCGAGTTGCCAGTGGTGCCACATGGTGCCACATGGTGCGCACCTGCCAAGCTCGGAATACTCACCTCATTCGTGGCAGAGGCTCGCAGCTACCCTATCCTCTCGTCCGACTGACGCCAGCTAGCATACGATAATCACCTATAAGAGTGGCATGATCTGTATGCAATACCACAGGTTATGGCTCGCATCTGACCCGTGCCGGGAGTATAGTCCACTCTCTCAAAAGCACGAGTTTATCGGGCCATTTTCTGTGCACCGACAGTCTGTTCAGACCAGACCAATTCTCGAGCAGACGGTGCAGTTAGCAGTATAACAAGGCTTACGACCGTCTTGCTACGCCTGTAGTATTCTTAAAACAATCAATGGATGATCTTGTTCGTCATGCCCAATCAAAATGCACTTACACAACAGGTTGAGTGGCACAGCTAAATTCAGGCGCAGGCCATTTCTACATCGTCTATCCAGGACCCAGGACATGTCCTTGACATTCTGGTTCCATATTTATGGTGTCTCTGCACAGTATAACAGACGGCAAAGTTCTGCTCTATCATCTTTTTACACGTTGCAAAGCTCCATTATTCCACCACGATATCCCTCTATCTTAACAGATCAGGTTCCGGAGCGTTCTCCCAGGTCAAAACGGCTAGGGCTCACTCATTTATGAAGTATTTTGTATACATCTCGCTCTCTTCCTTGGGATCCTTGCAGAAACTGGAACTGTCCTTTCGCCAGTGACTCGTTTCTGGTAGGTATCTAGAGATGGGGTCTTCAGTTGTCGATGAAATGATGAAGTCTGGCCTATCACATCTCGCGCGAAGTGACCATTCCTGTGATAACATCTATCTCCTGCCACCATTTTCCGCTTTTCGACTTCGGGTAGTTTAAAGATCACGACATAGCGGGTTCGAGCGTTCGGAGACGACGACTAGAATAAGCACAAAAGCGGTTGGGCACGTTCAATCTTTCCTTGAAAGATAGCTAACTCGCTCGAGAAGGCTTTGTCTGCTGGGGCCAATCGTCAGTCCGTCCACGCTGGATATTACAAAGTTAACAAGCCACCATCGAGGTCGGCTTGCTGACAGCACAAGAGGTCTCGCCTGCTCGGGAGTTTTGCTCGTAAGAACGAGTGATGGATTCCATATTGGTGAAGTCCATCGCTGCAGTAACCAATACGATTATAACACCGGTAATGGCCCTTGAAGAAAGGGGAGCGTTTTCGATCGATACTCCACTTCCGGACGGCGAGGGAATGATCGGCGGATCTGAGGACAGGATTACTCTGGGATGGCATGTGCATGCAAATCCAAAAAAAATTGGACACGGATGCATGTGGCAGTATCAAAGGACGATCAATGGGTTGTCGTTACTGGTGGAACTTACATTTGTGGCCCAATTATTAATATATTCCGAGCTGCAAGTAGTTGACGTATAGCCAAGTCGTTCAGCAATGACGACTAATTCAATGCCAGCATCATATCTGTTGTGCATCACTGGTGCACTCATGCTGATGGTACGTTGGATATTACTGAAAAGGCCGAACTTTCAGAAATGGATCGGATAACGACATTACGGCCGACACAGTAAGATGACTGGCGTTCAACACAACGGAGTGTATTGGGTGCTGGAGCAGGTATACAGTACTTAATGATGTACGGCAGCTGTGTGATCGTATAAAGGAGCAATAGTAGGCTGTAGAAGGATGTGTCAGGACAATGGCACAAAGGCGAAAGATGCAACATACAGGTATATTGCGTTCCCTGCATGAGTTTTGGCCTCAACAAAAGACGAATACAAAAATTTCACCACATACCACTTTGTTCCTCCTGGCATGGTAGGAGCTATGTGAAATAAGCTTTTTTAGAGGAGGTGATGTGATGGAAACGCGGAAACTCACGGATGTAAGGGTCGGGATGCAACTTGCTTGCGAGACTCGCCTCTGCCTTCTCAAGAATCTGGGCGAGGGCTCTCGGCTCAGTCACGTCACTGATACATGCAAGCACCATCTGCTAGTTAGACCAGAGTGACAACCGCATTCACGTCTACTACTGACCGGTTTCTCTCGAACTCAGCTCTAATCATCATTGCACGACCACGCCAGATATCTCTGCGAACAACCCAGTCCAGTTCATTTTTCAACATACGGCGGTAGAGTGACTTGACATAGAGCCTGTGAGCCGACGAGAATGAGGTAGACATTGTAGTTGGTGATGAGGGAAGTGAGACCTAACTGGAATAAACATCAAATTCTTAGGATAACCTAAAATAATTCATTTATAATAATCAAGTTTTTACAGGAATGTTTTTTAAGCTGTACACCGGACGTGAAGCAGTCATAAAACGGTCACGATGGACCCGCATTCAAGACTCTCCCAGTTCAATCAAAGAGCACCAAAGACTGGACCATTTTCACCCTCCGTACGATTCGAGCCAACCCAAAAAGTCACCTTAGACAAGTACACTAAAGCCTACTCATCATCCATGCCATCGGACTCGCCACTGTTTACCTCTCGCCCTATCGCGACGAATTCGCGGGTGAAGCAGGATGAACAATTCAAAAAGGACATGTTTCTCGCATATGTGAATAAGGCCATACGCGAGAAGCTCAATGTGAGTATGTGGTATATCACTTGATCGCGTGCTGATCGTCGTGCGCAGGGGCATAGCAAAGACTTTGATGACCTTGTTGACCAGTTTAGTCCGAACAAATCCACGCTTGCGCCTACCGTGCCATCTCTGCAGCTTCGTATCTGGCTTTCTGCACTCTCACATGTCCTTTCTCGCCTCGAGAGGCGTCACGCGCCACTGGTAGAGGCAATTGTCCGCCTACCATGGTCTACTATGGATGCTGTCTTCGTTAAATCGTATATCGTATTTATCGGCATGCTCATAAGTGCGCGCCCAGAATATCTATCACTTGTTCTGAACAGAATCGCGATGGGTTTCACATATCGTGAGTTATTACCATCTTGAAAGATATTCAAGCAGTTTTAATGCGTCACTCGCAGAATCTGGTCTTCTCGCTGTCGCCTCAAACTTAGAGGGCTCCACCCCCTTAACACGACGTGTGATCTATGATCGACAACATACTCTTCTCGAACATCTCTTAAACCTTGTACCAACCCTCCCATCATCTCTAGCCCCTCTCCTTGTACGAAACTTCCCTCACAAGCGTCAGCCACAAGCTGCACATGTAGCTTACATACGAAATCTGCTGCGTATAACCGAGTATTGTGGTGAACTTTCAGAGAGGGTCCTAGGCCTTATAGTGGATCGTGCTTTGATGGTTGATGTGAGTGCGCTCTTTTTTCTGTGCGATTGGATCCTAATTGATTTAATTGCACGTAGGTAGAGATTCAAGTAGAGCTCGAAGAGCTTGAAGACGCCGAACCTACAGATGGCGAACTTTTTGAATTTGATCCGTTTGATACCATAATAGGGCAAGAGGGTGACTCTTCTGATGATGAGGATGTTGACGATAGTCTGAGTGATTTATCGTCTGATGCATCGTCAGACAGTGATGCTGAAGATACCCCCATGGACACCAGACACGTTCATGATATGGTCTCGAAACTTGATGCTATCCTCAAGCTTGTATTTGACCACTTCAACAAACTACATTCGTCCATACTTACCGTCGTACCTTCGTCTCCCTCCATTCATCCAACAACTACGCACGATCGCGACCCGCAATCGCACGAGCCACATACCCTCCTCGCAATCCAATTTCACACTCTCCTAGCCATCTTCGATAGATCTATCCTCCGCACTTTCAAGTCCCGATATACCCAATTTCTCCTTTTCTGGTATGCTTCCCTTCACCCCGAGTTCTCAGACCTTTTCCTGGGACTACTTGTTGACAAAGCCCTTTTCGGAAGCGCAAGTGCGAGTAGCGTGGAACGTGCGGCAGCAAGCAGTTATATCGGGAGCTTTGTCTCGCGTGCACAGTTTATTGATCGTGAGGGCGCACGGAGGGCTGTTAAAGTCCTATGCGCGTTTCTCGGAGCGCACTTAGATGCTGTCGAGGCTGGCAATGCTGCTAGCAATAATCACAGCGTTTTTTATGCGATTGTCCAGTCTGTATTTCTGGTATTTTGCTTCCGTTGGCGCGACTTACAGGAGGAACCGGACGAACAAGAGGTGGGACGGAAGATATGGATAAGCGAGCTAGGAGTCGTACAGAGAGTTATCACATCTGATCTCAACCCTCTCAAGGTTTGCTAGCCGTCATTTTTGGAAAGATTCTTTGGCTAATTGCTGCAAAATAGGTCTGCTCTCAGAATGTCGTACATCAATTTGCTCGCATCGCACAAGCAACTGATTTCACATACTGCTTCTCCATTCTGGAAGCAAACAAACGAGCACCGTACCCTGTATTTGCCGGTGTGGCACCCGGTAGCACTCGCCCGGAGGACTTGCATACTTTTTTCCCTTTCGATCCCTTCAAACTGCCCCGCTCAGGCGAGTACATACAAGGCGTGTATCGAGAGTGGGCAGCGGTGGCTATTGACGATGAAGAAGAAGAAGAGGATGAAGATGATCTGATAGAGGAGGACCCAACATTCGATGAATGGGAACGACAAGGCGGCTCGTGCATACCGATCACTGCCTCGAAACGGGGAGAGTCAGACGACGATGGGTTGGGCGCGTCCTTTGGTGGAATGAGCATCAGTCCAGCTCGGACAAGGACGGTTGCAATGGCAATTTCCGTCTCGTAATTGCTGGCTGCCGTCTTCATTCAACAGGTTCCCATCCACCACTCACTATGCCTCCCAGAACTCCAAATTATGCTATTACGAACACCAACGATAAGAAATCAGACGACGGACTTGGTTAGAAGATAATATTAAAGAACATGTTTCGTAGGCCTTTCCAGAGCTCATGTCGCCTACTGCGGCGCTTCTGCTTTGTACCCCCCACCGCGTCAGTATGCTACAAACGAGGTTATCAGGAGGAACGAGGTGATGACAATAACTGGTTTCATACCTCAACTGGGACGTCCTGCGCCAAAACCTCCTCAATCTCCTTATTAATATTTTGCGTCTCTTCAAGAGTTCCCCACGCATCTTCTTCGATTCTCCGTCGTTTCCTATTCGTTTCCTCAAACCGTGCGCGTTCTTCTTCGGCTGCCTGCAGCGCTGCATCCACAGCCACTCTCCAGTTCTCAATTCCTTCAATCCGTGCTCGAGCGAGGTACACCTGTGCATACCCCCGTTCGTCCTTCTTGAGCTGTCTGCCTTTCGGTTGCTCAGTTTCTGTGCTATTAACATCGGGAGGCTCTGGCGTGGCATCATGATGAGTTGCGTCTCCACCGGACATGATATGGTAGAGATGGCTTAGCGCGAATATATGTGCCGTAGTGAGGTCGTGAGGTCGTAAAGAGGTGGATAAGGGGAATGCGGACGTTTTCCAAAGGTACAAGGATGATGAAGGAAAGAAACATGTGGGGAAAGGCAGGCACTTCCGGTTGCCGAGGTCAACGTAACGTGCCTCGAGGCGTCCGTTATATTACGCTTCGCAGTGACGTAGATGTGCTCACTTTTTAATACCAAGCGAGCGCTTCAGATGTTATTGTCATGTCTATTAGGGAAAATTACCAGTATTTGATACCAATATACCACATATGTCGTGTGCGGGTTTATAATGCAACAGCTGAACAACGCAGTCTAAAGGTACCGAAAGGTGGACTATTATGATACAATAACTGGTACGTTCGCATAGTGCTGAATGATATTTGTTGTGTCAAACGGAATCTCCGAGTCTCGCTGGGTAATTTTGGATGCCCAGCATCGTCCCCTCCAGGGCTCGGCTCTCTTTGGAAGCTCTGGCGAGAGGGTGTACAGAACGAAGGTAAAGTCGGATAGATCGTTGAGGTGTATTAGACGCATCGTGTTGTTACCTTGCGTGATAAACGGGGTCACATTCAGTGCTCCCTTTTCCTGTGGCAGACGTTAAGTTATTTGTTTTCTGAAGGTAGCATCCACGAATAACACCATACCAATTCATAGGGAAGCCAGGACCGCCCATTGGCGCTTTCAACGTTCAATTGTACCACAAGGGTGCCTTTAGCAGGCCAATCCTCTCCCACACTCCTGATTTTGTCAAGGGTGGTATCCAGGCTGTCACCTTCCTGAAGCTCATCATGGGGATCCTTGCGGAAACAAGAAAGTTGCACGGTAAATGAAACATTGGAGGAACTAAGATTTCTCGTGAGGAAAGGCTAAGTTAGAATCGCAAAGTCTTGCGTACCTGCTCGACGAAGCTGCGGGAATAATGCGATCTCCGACCGCAAAATCAATGGTAAGTATACCTGGTCGAGTAAGACCCTGGCGCCCGAACCAGGTTCCGGGCATAGATAGGGTTGGAATTTTCAGTGACGACGAAGGATAGGAGTCGGTAGACGAGCATGTTGCTATATTCTGAGGATCTGCGGGAGACGGTCCTGAGTGATGTGCTAAAGATATCGCCATCACGACGTCTTCTACAGGAACTGACGATGGTGGAGTCATCTGATGTGGAACAGAGGCAGGTGCCGATGCTTGAACATTTGCCGAGTTTGGGTCGTGCGATGATGGAGCCTCGTCATGTTCCATGATCTGTTTGACTAGAAGTGTGATATCCTTGACAGAGCGATGTCTAGAATCCTGGACGGGTGAGAAAGCCTTGTGGTCAATTGGCAAATCTACTAATGTAGCTTCGCTATCCTTCCGTGACCCGATAGATAACGCGTCTGAATCTAGCCAAACACGCGTAGTCCGAGTGGATTCACCGTGTTTCTCCATGCCGTGTTTTAAGTCCTCCTTGTTGATGTGTGGATCAACAGCGCCAACTTGAGGGTTCTTCGGTGGGTGCAAGGCACTGAGGGCGTCAATTTGAAGTTTCATATCTCCAGCTTGCTGTAGAAACTCGCGGCAACGATCATCGGTGAGCATAGCTGCACACGCTGTGACGTCGAGAGCTGTCGAAGAGTCTTGAGATTTGGCAGACATAAGAAGAACAGGCGCTAGCAGTTGCCTGCACCTCTCTACAACAGATGCAGATCCACCATTGTGTGTAGTTATTGACTCCGGTAGGGGTTCGCGTAGCATGTCAAGACCTGTGGTCAACAGGCTAATCACCCCAGCTTCGAATGCAGATGGTAACAATCTACCGCTGGACCTTTCCGCTAGGAGAGTCTGAAACGGAAAGTTGAGGGTAATCCTTGTTGGTCGTAGTTCCGTATACTGCTAGGAGTTCAATTGGTTGGCGTAAGTAACGCAAGTATCGTGACCGAATTTTTTAATTTGCCAGTAACCGAAGGCTGAGATCCGGTAACGTAATTGTATACCGTTGAGACCCGTGTTCCAGGGCCCATTCACTTTCTTCTTCAGATGCGTAACTCCACACGCCCTAACAACGAGGAGGATTGCAGGCTTAAGGTGTGTGGTCCAGACGATCGCGTATAATGGTTGTACTTTAACACCTTCCTCTTGATGAAGGCACCTGGGGGGCTATTGTCGTCTCGGTCGACTGCGATTTCCTGCTGATGATGATCTACGCTGAGCGCTCGCAGAATTGACTTTTTGATGGAGCTTGAAGCTGATATGATTGTGTTAGATGAAATGTCACCCCGTGTATCTCACAATGATAGCTGATGCATGTCGCACCCACCACATATCATGCTAACGTGCCTAATGTATACACTTTTGGGCATAACAATCATTCAATGTGATTTCGTAACTCATTCCCTACTTCCATGCACAGGACGTCCTCCCTTAAGCTTCATCATGCATCAGGTTCCTGACTTCGTTGCCTTCTGGTCACCCTTCACGCACTTTTATCCATGTGGAGCAACCCATAGCCCTGGGTTAGCCGCGTTCAGTCGTTCTCTTGGTCTGCACGTGGGACAATATAAGATGCCTCAAATTATATTGCATGGTTATTCTTCGTTCTCATCTTGAAATACACAGGACTTGCTCTGAGTAGCGCTTTTAGCTGATTATTCTTTCCAAACCATACGCGTATCAGTAAGTTTTCTCAGCTCAAGATAGGAGCATTATACGACGTCATCATTAACAGGGTTACGCATTACCATCGTTGTGCAAACTCGGAGATGGGAGGTCTATTGAGTGCTCTATTCAAGGATATATTTTGGAGGTCCAAAGATAGATTTCGGGGTCTGACCAAAGATGGATTTTGGCCCGGGAGTCTGTCCAAAGATAGATGTTTGAGTCTACTCAAAGATTGCAGTCGACTCATCGTCAGGATAGACGGGCTCCTGGAAGCAGAGGCGGCTCTTGAGCAAGCCAGAAACGAGACTGATGCTGCCAAAGCAGAGATTGCCGAGCTCATCAGGTCGAATCAAGAAACGCAGGAAAGGGCTATGGCAGCTCAGCAGGCCGCTGAGCAAGCTGCGGCAGCTTCACAGGATCAGGCCCGTAAGGAAATGGAGGCGATGGGCCAGGCTGCAAAGGCTGCCAATGATGCCCGCTTACTGGCAGAAGCTGCTGCCCATACCGCTAATGAACAAACGAAGCAGAAGGCAGCGGAAGCAGAGGAGGAGCGTAAGCGAACTGCCGCTGTACAAGAGCAAGCCAAACGAGACGCCCAGGCTACCCAGGAGCAAGCCGAGAGACTACAAGAAGCTGCCGATGAGGAGAGGAGGAGGGCAACTGCCGTCCAGAAGGCGGCCAACGCGTCGAAGAAAGTGGCAGAAGAGCAAGTAAAGACGGCCAATGCTGCCAAGGAGGAGGCTGAACGCAAGTTGAAAGAAGGCATTCAACCTGTGGCGACTCCCTCTCCTGAAGAAGTTAGCGCCGCCAAGCGGAAAGTTCAATATCGCGAGGACCTTTTTCACTTTGCAGTAGCCGGGGTAGCAGGAGCAGGGAAATCATCTCTCATCAATGCCTTTTGCGGTTTACGCAATAAGGACCTCAGATCTGCTGCCACTGGTGTCACCGAGACAACGCTAGCCATGGCTAGAATCCCTCACCCCGATGCGGAATATCCTCTTGTCTGGTACGATATCCCAGGTGCAGGCACGCTCAAAATCTCGGACTGGCAGTACTTCAATGCCCAAGGAGTCTACGTCTTTGACTGCATCATCATCCTGTTCGACAATCGCTTCACCATGACCGACATCGCCATCCTCACTAACTGCAGGCGTTTCAGGATCCCCACGTATATCGTGCGCTCTAAGGCAGATCAACACATTTCTAATATCGTGGACGATATGGTGAACGACAGCGATGACGATGACGGTGATGAGAGCGAGGATAAGAAGAAGAAGCTTTACCAGGCTGCACGGCAACAGTTCATTCAGCAGACGCGTAAGAGCGTGAAAGACAACCTTGAGGATGCGAACATTCCGGACCAAAAGGTTTACATCGTTTCAAATAAAACGATGATCGGTGTCGTGAAGAGCAAGCAGGCAGTGAAGGTCATCGACGAGATCGAGTTGTTGAACGACTTGATCCAAGAAACCCAGACCAGGCGAGCACGTCGTGATGCCGAGGTGGACATTATTATGAATGAGAAGTGGTGGCTGATGATAGAGATCTTTAAGTCGTTATATTGCTTCCTTCGGGCTCTTTCCAATCCTGATGTTGATCCGTTCTCGCCATGACCATACCACTTGTGACCGATCTTGACCGCAGATTTGCACATACAGTACCTTCTTCCTATGTTTCTTCCTCTGTGCTGATATTATTACTCCTCCGCATGTTCTTACTACCGCTTACTAATGACTAGCAGGACTCGAAACTCAGCTGGAGGCCCTTCAAGATCAGTGAACGGATGAGCATATGAAAACATCATATCATGGAAGTTCGTTCTAGGTTTGATGGTCAGAGATTTGCCAGTAACCAAAGGAGCTCAGGAGATCCGGTAATGTGATTGTATGCCGGCGTTGTGTTCCAGGATCCGACGAGCCCTTCCTCATTCAAGTCCATTCGTTTAATCAAACCTCCTTCTTCAGATGGTAACTCCATACGCCCTAACAACGAGGAGGATTGCGGGCTTAAGGTATGTGGTCCAGATGATCGAGTATAATGGTTGTACTTTAACATTCGGATCTTGAAGGCACTTGGGGACTATTATCGTCTCGGTCGACTGTGTAATGTTTCAGATGAAACCTAGCCTGAGTAGTGTTCTAACTATAGTACACCCTCCTGCAGCGCGGCCTCCTATCAGGATCATCAACGATTCATCGTGGCCATTCAGGATACACTATACCTTCTCTGCGACAGTCGCAAACTTCATCGATACCTGGCTATCCTTCACAGAGCACCCATCAGGTGACAGTGCTCTCTTTGGTGCCTGGCAGTATTCTGTTCACGCATTAAGTCCTTTTTAATGTCTTTTTGTTCTTCACTACTATAGTACTCCTATTATTAATTTATGTCCACCGCGGCCCCGCCCGGTACTGCATATCAGTATGCTACTACAATATCTTGCAGATATCTGATAGGTAGACTACAGACAGGGCAGTATCTATCTGGTAGTGAATCTGACGGACGGACGGACGTTGTACTGACAACCCAACATTGCGGTCAATAGCTGATACATATCACACACACCACATACCATGTTAACGTGTTTAATTTCCATGTACATTTTGGTCATATACAATCATTCAATGTGATCTCGTAACTCATTCCCTACTTTCATGCACAGAACGTCCTCCGTTCATCTAATTCCGTTCTATGACTTCATTGCCTTCAGGTCACACTTCACGCGAACCCATAACCCTGGGTTAGCCGCATTCCGTCGTTCTCTTGGTCTGCACGCGGGACAATATAAAACGGATTCTATGGTCTAAGATCGGTTATTCGTTCTCGATTGAAATCCACAAAACTTACTCTAAGCACTACTATTAGCTGATTTTCTTTTCAAAACCTACGCATATCAGTAAGTTTTCTCGGCTCAAGAGATGGGAGCATCATGCGACCTCGTTATTAACAGGGCCACGCATTACCATTGTCGAACAGATGGGATCTTATGCAAGTCGACCAGAGGAGCCCAATCTATCCCTCGAGGAGATGGAAGTGCGCCAGGACGCAGAGGCAGCTGCTGCGCATTTCCAGAAGGATGCTGAGGCTGCCAGAGAGGAAATCGCCGAGCTCAACAGGTTGAATCAAAAATTACAGGAAGAGGCCAAGACAGCTTTTCAAGCTGCGGCGGCCACAAAGGATCAGGTCCGAAAGGAGATGGAAGCAATGGCCAAAGCCGAACGTGCGGCCAATGAAGCTCGCTTACGAGCGGAAGCTGCTGCTCGTACTGCCAGTGAAGAAGCAAAACGGAGAGCAGTTGAAGCAGAGGAGGAGCGTAAGCGAACAGCCGCTGTCCAAGAACAAGCCAAACGAGATGTCCAGGCTGCCCAAGAGCAGGCCAAGAGACTGCAGGAGACTGTTGATGAGGAGAGGAGGGCAACTGCCGTCCAGGAGGCAGCCAATGCTGCTAAGGAGGAGGTGATCACCGAGCTCCGCAGGTTGAATCAAAAATTACAGGAAAAGGTTATGGCAGCTCAGCTGGCCGCTTTGCAAGCTGCGGCAGCCTCGCAGGAGCAGGCCCATAGAGAGATAATGGCGATGGTCCAGGCCGAACGTGCCGCCAATACAGCTTGCTTACTGGCAGAAGCTGCTGCTCGTGCCGCTGTTGAAGAAGCCAAACAAAAAGCAGCTGAAGCAGAGGAAGAGCGTAAGCGAACTGCCGCTCTACAAGAGCAAGCCAAACGGGACGCCCAGGCTGCCCAGGAGCAGGCCAGGAAACTACGTGAGGCTGCCGACGAGGAGAAGAGGAAGGCGACTGCCGTCCAGGAGGCGGCCAACGCGTCGAAGAAAGTGGCAGAAGAGCAAGTAAAGGCGGCTAATGCTGCCAAGGAGGAGGCTGAACGCAAGTTGAAAGAAAGCATTGAGGCTGTGGTGACCCTCACGCCCGAAGAACAGGCCAGACGAGACGCCCAGGCTGCCCAGGAGCAGGCCAGGAAGGCACTGCAGGAATCGTGCCATCATCAGTAGACTGAGGAAATCCTGAGAAACCGCATCAGTATAATTCTGTTGGGCGAAGTTCCAAATCAACATGTGCACATGTTTAAATTTGCCTGATTGCGAAATTGCGAAAATAGTTGAACTTGTGCCTCAGAAACGTCCTTCGAAGTCAACTCGAAGTACTAGTAGGACCCTTCTGGGACATCAATGCATCACCTCCAAGCGGAGTTTAAACTTTGCTCGATGTTTTGAATGGCCAATCAATCCCACCAACGCGCCCCCCGCCGTCTAACATCTCACTAGAATGCTGCATGTTCATGTTCTACCTCAACTCCTCCCGCCACTCTCCTTACCCACACATCACCTTACCCGCCCCTCTCCTTACCCCCTTATGTATGTGAGGCTGGATGATGTCATCCTTGAGGAGGCTCCTGGCTAGCACATCACAAGAACCGGCCCAGATCAATATATTACATAGCAACGAGCTCACTGTGTTACTGCATGGTCACAAAAAGACTCTCAACGTCCATGGAAGTAAGTCCTTGGTGCCGCTGCAGACAGTGAACAAGTGCGAGAAACAGTGACGGACACAGAAACATTTATACCCTGGTTGGAGGTGCCGATGGGCCTACCGATGTTCTGGAATTTGTCCCAGACCGGCCATTTCAGAGATGCCCTCAGTAAGCATTATCGTTCGTATCCGTGGAGCACTTCAGCATACCAGCACGCGGCCACGCACACTGAGTCTCCCTAGATTTAAAAGTTCGCATACTTGTCTTGCACCGATGCGCACATTCCGTCGTAAGCATCTGTCATTTACTTGATGTCAAGAAACTTATCTACAAAGCTATCCGGCTGATTTGGACTGCCAGTATTGCATCTCAAAATACAAATCATGGGCATCGTGGCAGTCATCGCAACCTCATTATCGATGACGTTACCTTTCTTACTGTCATCCTTCGCCGAAATCCCACTGTGTACTGGACGAGCTACAGCGGGAATTTCATGCACACCGTGTTGCGTATCCGCACATACACTTCCCGGCACCTACTTCCAAGATAGCTTCGGGCCCAGAAACGCTGATATTCGGTGATGAAGCTGCGAAAGATGAAAGGACATAGATTCGTCCATCGGAGCCGATGTTCGAAAATTGATCCCAAACCTCATCGTTCACATTCCTAACCCTTAACTCTTTCCATAGAATACCGCATATGTGCGTGAATATAATATAATCGTCTCTCACTTAAAAATGGAATCACTTGATTACAAGGGTTGGGTCTGCTGACTCGGAGGGTTAGGAACGACGAGCATACATTCGTCGTTCATCTGATCAGATCTGGTAATTCATTCCCAACTTTCATGCGCAGAACTTCTTCCATTCGATTCCACAACTTCGTTGCCTCCAGGTCACGCTTCATGCAATCCTCCGGATGGAGAACAACCCATAGCCCTGGGTAATCTATGATCAGCGCTTGGTTGCATTCAGTCGTTCTCTTGGCCTGCATGCGGCACAATATGAAACGCCTCAAGGCAGACATTATATTCTATAGTCTAAGATCGGCTCTTCGTTCCTACAGGACTTACTCTGAACAACGTTGTCAGCCGATTTTTCTTTTCAAAGCATACGCACACCAGTAAGTTTTCTCAGCTCGAGAGATGAGAGCATCATGCGACGTGACTATTAACAGGGCCACGCATTACCATTGTTGAGCAAACTCAGAGATGTGTTTTACGGAGCCAGACGAGCCCAATCCAGCCTTCGAGGAGATAGAAAAGCGCCAAAAGGCAGAGGCTGAGGCAGAGCAAGCCCGACAGGATGCCAAGGCTGCTGAAGAACGGATCGCTGAGCTCAACAGGTTGAATCAAAAAATACAGGAAGAGGCTAGGGCGGCTGAGCAAGCCGCTAAGGAAGCCGCGGCAGCCTCAGAGGCTCAGGCCCGTAGGGAAAGGGAGGCTCAGGCCGAGGCCAAACGTGCTGCCGACGAAGCTCGCTCACAGGCGGAAGCTGCTGCTCGTACCGCCAGTGAGGAAGCAAAAAAGCAAGCGGCGCAAGCAGAGGAGGAGCGTAAGCGAACTGCCGCTGTACAAGAGCAAGCCAGACGAGACGCCCAGGCTGCCCAGGAGCGGGCCAAGAAACTACAGGAGGCTGCTGATGAGGAGAAGAGGAAAGCGGCTGCCGCCCAGGAGGCGGCCAACGCGTCGAAGAAAGTGGCAGAAGAGCAAGTAAAGGTAGCCAATGCTGCCAAGGAGGAGGCTGAACGCAAGTTGAAAGAAGGCATTCAACCTGTATTGACTCCCACACCTGAAGAAGTTAGCGCTGCCAAGCGGAGAGTGCAATATCGCGAGAACCTGTTCCACATCGCAATAGCCGGGGTGGCAGGAGGAGGGAAATCATCTCTCATCAATGCCTTCCGCGGTTTGCGTAATAAGGGCATCGGAGCTGCTGCCACTGGCGTCACCGAGACAACGCTAGTCATGGCTAGATACCCTCACCCTAATGCAGAATATCCTCTTGTCTTGTACGATTTCCCGGGCGCTGGCACGCTCAAAATCCCAGACTGGCAGTACTTCAACGACCAGGGACTTTATGTCTTTGACAGCATCATCGTCTTGTTCGACAACCGATTCACCATGACCGACATCGCCATCCTCACGAACTGCAGGCGTTTCAAGATCCCCACGTATATCGTGCGCTCTAAGGCAGATCAGCACATCCGTAACATTATGGAAGATATGGGGTATGACAGCGACGATGATAGCAGCAAGGTCAAGAAGCTTCACCAGGCTGCACGGCAGCAGTTCATTCAGCAGACGCGCCAGAGCGTGAAAGACAACCTGCAGGATGCCAATATACCTGACCAACGAGTTTATATCGTTTCGAATAAAACGATGCTCGATGTCGCGTCGAATACAACGATCTTTGATGTTCTGGCGAGAAAGCGGCCAAAGACTATCGACGAGATTGAGTTGTTGAGCGACTTGATCCGAGAAGCCCAGATCAGGCGAGGACACCGTGATACTGAGGCGGCGACTATTATGAATGAGGAGTTAGTGGGCGATGATACAGTTCTTCCTTCGGACTCTTACTGATACTTGTCCGTTCTCGATATGATCATACCGTTCGTGACCGAGCTTGATTCCAGACTTGCAGATTCGGTTCTTCCTATGTTTCTTTCTCTGTGCTGATGTTGTTACTTCTCCACATGTTATTACTGCTTGCGAGTGACTGACTTCCATCCGACTGAATACTTAGAATTACAAAGGATTTGCAATTGATATTTCTAGTAGAAACCTAGATCTACAGGACGAAAGGTATCGGATTCTGATGCGACGCGATCCAGTATCTGCGACATCGTGGGATGAATATGTGAACGTGACCTCGTAAGGGTATTAGTGATGGCGTCGAGCGTCCATTCTGGGTTTGTACCACGAGGGTGCCTTTTGGCAGGCTCAAGGTATCCAGGCTGTCACCTTCCTGAAGCTCATCATGGGGATCCTTGCGGAAACAAGAAAGTTGCACGGTAAATGGAACATTGGGAGAACTAGGATTTCTCGTAAGGAAAGGCTAAGTTAGAACTGCAAAGTCTTGCGTACCTGCTCGACGAAGCTGCGGGAATAATGCAATCTCCGACCGCAAAATCAATGGTAAGTATACCTGGTCGAGTGAGACCCTGGCGCCTGAACCAGGTTCCGGGCATAGAGAGGTTGGAATTTTCAGTGACGACGAAGGATAGGAGTCGGTAGACGAGCATGTTGCTATATTCTGAGGATCTGCGGGAGACGGTCCTGAGTGGTGTGCTAAAGATATCGCCATCACGACGTCTTCTACAGGAAGTGACGATGATGGCACCATCTGATGTGGAACAGAGGCAGGTGCCGATGCTTGAACATTTGCCGAGTTTGGGTCGTGCGATGATAGAGCCTCGTCATGTTCTATGATCTGTTTGACTAGAAGTGTGACGTCCTTGACAGAGCAATATTGTCTAGAATCCTGAACGGGTGAGAAGGCCTTGTGGTCAATTGGCAAATCTACCAATGTAGCTTCACTATCCTTCCGTGACCCGATAGATAACGTGTCTGAATCTAGCCAAACACGCGTAGTCCGAGTGGATTCACCGTGTTTCTCCATGCCGTGTTTTAAGTCCTCCTTGTTGATGTGTGGATCAACAGCGCCAACTCGGGGGTTCTTCGGTGGGTGCAAGGCAAGGGCATCAATTTGAATTTTCATATCTCCAGCTTGCTGTAGAAACTTGCGGCAACAATCATCGGTGAGCATGGCTGCACACGCTGTGATGTCGATAGTTGTCGAAGAGTCTCGAGATTTGGCAGACATAAGAAGAACAGGCGCTAGCAGTTGCCTGCACCTCTCTACAACAGATGCAGATCCACCATTGTGGTTGTTGACTCCGGTAGGTGTTCGCGTAGCATGTCAAATCCTGTGATGACTAGTCAACAGGCTAATCACCCTAGCTTCAGATGCAAACGCTGGACCTTTCAGCCAGGAGTCTGGGACGGAAAGTTGAGGGTGATCCTTGTTGGTCGTAGTTTCGTATACCGAGTTCAATTGGTTGGCATAACATAAGTATCGTGACCGAATTTTTTAATTTGCCAGTAACCGAAGGACTTATTCAAGTCCATTCGTTTACATAACCAAACTAGTGTAGGGGGCAGAAAGGAATTCCCTCGTGGCAATTGGCAAAATGGCACAACGGCAATTGGCAGAATGGCAGAAGCCGGCAAAAATAAATTTGACTACTACAGTGAGGCTACACCTTCTGATGTCAAAAGGGCATCAATACTCCACCCTGTGCTCGATTGGTTTGCTCAGGTGTGACAGGGAGGTCTACATACCCAAGAAGATTCTTTCGTTTTCGCGATTCCACGGTAGTCTGACCCTGAAACTCCGAAAGACTGGAAGTTTCCGCAATAGATGGGGATAGAAGGTCTTGATTGCCTTTCTTTGTAGTGAGATAGCCACGAACATCTGCGCGGGTGCGATCAGGGGCTTTGGGGCATGTTTTTTGGTCAATTAAGTGTTTGAGGTGGTTGTCATCACGGCCCTCGATGGATGCTGAGCAGTAGTTACATTTGAAAAAGTAGCGGTTCGAGTTGTTTTCGACTTTTTCCACGGGAACAAAGTGGTCGGACACGATTTTCCGGACAGGACGGCCCTTAGGCTTTTGGGACATTGTAATCACCAACTTACACACCGAGATACATTCAAATCTATGTCAAATTCTTATTGTTTGTTCGTAGGTACAAACATAGTTCTGCCGAGTTCTGCCAACTGCCCTCGACCTACTGCCGGCAATTGCCACTGGCAGAAATATTTTATTCTGCCAACAACACTACAGAGCCCTACTCAATTCCATTTTATTTTCTAGCAAGTGAGTGTATCAATCTACGCTGAGTGCTCGCAGAATTGATTTTTTGGAATGATGGAGCTTGAATGTGTTAGATGAAACCTAGCCTCAGCGGCGGTGTTCTAACTATAATACACCCTCCTGCAGCGCCTCCTATCAGGATCATCGACGATTCATTGTGGCCATCTAGGGTGCACTATATCTCCTCTGCGACAGTCGCAAACCTCATCGATATATGGTTATCCTTCACGAAACACCCATCAGTCGCAAACCTGATTGATATCTACTCATGCTCTCGGCAGTATTTCGCCCACTTATCAAAATGTCATACGTTAAAAATTGCCACATATCGTGGGCCCTTTGTCTTAATCGTGAGGTACACATACATTCGTCGTTCAATCTGATCAGATCTGGTAACTTACTCTCAACTTTCATGCACAGAACTTCTTCCATTCCATTCCACGACTTCATTGCCTCCAAGTCACACTTCGTGCAATCCTCCGGATGTGGGACAACCCATAGCCCTGCGTAATTTATGATCAGCGCTTGGCCGCATTCAGTCGTCTGCATGCGGGACAATATAAAACGCCTCAAGGCAAACATTATATGTTTAAGACTCGGATCGGCTCTTCGTCCCTTCAGGACTTACTCTGAACAGCGCTATTAGCCAAGTTTTCATTCCAAAGCATACGCATACTAGTAAGTTTTGTTAGCTCAAGAGATGAGAGCATCATTTGACGTCACCATTAACAGGGCCACGCATTTCTATAGTTGAGCAAACTCAGGGATGGGATGTTCCAAGCGGCCAAAAGGGCCCAATCCAGTAGACGAGGAGATCAAAAAGCGCCGGGACGCAGAGGCAGCTGCTGAGCAAGCCCGAAAGGACGTTAAGGCTGCCGAAAAACGGATCGCTGAGCTCAACAACGTGAACGAAAAACAACAGGAAAAGACTAAGGCGGCTGAGCGGGCCACTGAGGAAGCTAAGGCGGCTGAACAGGCTCGGGGCCGTGAGGCAAGGGAGGCGATGGCCGACGCCAAACGTGCTTCAGACGAAGCTTGCTCGCGGGCGGAAGCTGCCGCTCGTACCGCCAACGAGGAATCAAGAAAGTTAGCAGCGCAGGCAATGGAGGAGCTTAGGCGAACTGCTGCTATACAAGAGCAAGCCAGACGGGACGCCCAGGCTGCCCAGGAGCAGGTCAAGAAACTACAGGAGGCTGCCGATGAGGAGAAGAGGAAGGCGACTGCCGCCCAGGAGGCGGCCAACGCGTCGAAGAAAGCGGCAGACGCGGCCAATGCTGCCAAGGAGGAGGCTGAACGCAAGTTGAAAGAAGGCATTCAACCTGTGGTGACTCCCACACCTGAAGAAGTTCGCGCAGCCAAGCAGAGAGTACAATATCGCGAGGACCTTTTCCATATCGCAATAGCCGGTGTGGCAGGAGGAGGGAAATCATCTCTTATCAATGCCTTCCGCGGTTTGCGTAATAAGGACATTGGAGCTGCTGCCACTGGCGTCACCGAGACAACGCTAGTCATGGCTAGATACCCTCATCCCAATGCAGAATATCCTCTTGTCTTGTACGATTTCCCGGGCGCTGGCACGCTCAAAATCCCAGACTGGCAGTACTTCAACGACCAAGGACTTTATGTTTTTGACAGCATCATCGTCTTGTTCGACAATCGCTTCACCATGACCGACATCGCCATCCTCACGAACTGCAGGCGTTTCAAGATCCCCACGTATATCGTGCGTTCTAAGGCAGATCAGCACATCCGCAACATTATGGAAGATATGGGGTATGATAGCGATGGTGATAGCAGCCAGGTCAACAGGCTTTACCAGGCTGCACGGCAGCAGTTCATTCAGCAGACGCGCCAGACCGTGAAAGACAACCTGCGGGATGCCAATATACCTGAGCAAAGGGTTTACATCGTTTCGCACAAAACGATGCTCGATGTCGCGTTGAACACAACAATATTCGATGTTCTGGCGAGAAGGCAGCCGAAGACCATCGACGAGATTGAGTTGTTGAGCGACTTGATCCGAGAAGCCCAGATCAGGCGAGGACGCCGTGACTGAGGCGCTACTATTACGAATGAGTTGTCGGTGGTGATACAGTTCTTCTTCCTTCGGACTCTTACTGATACTTCTCTGTTCTTGACATGATCATACCGTTCGTGACCGAGCTTGATTCCAGACGTGCAGATTTGGTTCTTTCTACGTTTCTTCCTCTGTGCTGATGTTGTTACTTCTCCTCATGTTCTTACTGCTTGCGCGCGACTGATTTCCATCCGACTGAATACAAAGGATTTGCAATTGAGATTTCTAGTAGAAACCTAGATCTACAGCACGAAAGGTATCGCATTCTGATGGCAACGCGATCCAGTGCCTCCGACATCGTGGGATGAATCTGACCTCGTGCAGATCAAGGGAATCAGTGCGAGTGTCCATTGATCGATCTGGGATAGGGGTTGGTTGGAAATGCCCCTCTTCGTTATGACCTAGCACAGCACCCATTCTGAATCAACACCATTAGATTCAATTTTCGAAGCACAGCATATACATTTCAGTAAGCTTCTTCAGCTCGAGAGATGGAAGCCATCGTATGACATGACAATTAACAGGATTCTTTATCAATCAAGAATGGGAGCGACTCCATCCCTCATCGAAAGAGAAGCACGTCTACACGCAGAAGCCGTGGCTGAGCAGGCTCGGAAGGATGTAGAACTTGCGCAGGCTGCGTTAATAAAGGTAATCCAGGCCAATCAAAAATCACAGCAAAAGGCTGCGGAGGCCCAGCTCGCCGCACAGGCGCAGGTGTATAAGGAGATGGTAGCGACGTTGCAGGCTGAGCGGGCTGCTAGGGAAGCCGTGCAGGCACAATCTCACAAGGAAATGATAGCGGTGGTCCAGGCGGAATGTGCTGCTATTCAAAAACGAGCGAACATGGACATTCAGTCTGCTCAGGAGCATGTCGAGAAATTAGAAGAGAGGGATGCAACTGCTGACCAGGAGGCGACCGACGCATTAAAGAAAGTGGCAGAAGAGCGAGTTAAGATGGCTAATGCTGCCAAGGAGGAGGCTGAACGGAATTTGAAAGTAGGCATTTAACCTGTGGTGACTCCTACACCTGTAGAAATCAGCGCCGCCAGGCAGAGAGTACAGTATCACGAGGACCTTTTCCACATCGCGGTAACCGGGGTGGCAGGAGGAGGGAAATCATCTCTCATCAATGCCTTCCGTGGTTTGCGTAATAAGGACACCGGATCTGCTGCTACTGGTGTCACCGAGACAATGCTGGTCACGGCCAGATACGCCAGCCCCCACATGGAACAAGCATATGCCTGGTACGACAGCCCGGGCGCAGGCCCACTCAAAATCCCAGACTGGCAGTATTTCACTGCCCAAGAACTTTATGTCTTTGATGGCATCATCGTGCTATTCGACAATCACTTCACCATGACCGACATAGCCATCCTCGCGAACTGTCGGCGTTTCGAGATCCCCACGTATATCGTGCGCTCCAAGGCAGATCAGCACATCCGTAACATCATGAACGATATGGGGTACTACAGCGGCGATGATGAGAGTGAGGACCGGAAGAAGACGCTTTGCCAGGCTGCACGGGAGCAGTTCATTCAACAGACGCGCCAGAGCGTGAAAGACAACCTGGAAAGTGCCAATATGCCTGATCAAAGGGTTTACATCGTCTCGAATAAAACGATGCTCGATGTCGTGAATGAAAAGCAGCCGGAGAACATCATCCACGAGATTGAGCTGTTGAGCGACTTGGAATGGTCAAGGACTGGCCCGGGTGAAGAATATGTTTAGTGTTGTTGGCAGAATAAAATATTTCTGATACAGCGAGGTCGCTCGTGTCCAAATTGAGGATATTGCCCGTCTTAAAGACCGTAAACGCCTCACCTATCTGCTTGATGGCTGGGAGGATAAGATTCGAAGGAGTTTATATGGCTCTATGGTTGCCGAAGTGAACCAGCACCCTGTCGTGCTCAGTCTCGAAGACATGACGGGACATCGAAGTTCTGCAGACAAGTTACTCGAGGTCTCCGTGAAAGCCTTAGAACGAATGGAGATTGGTGATGGACATAACATCATTGCTGCGACAACGGACAATCCAACTGTGATGCAATCTTTCCGACGAAAATTTCAAGCGAAGTTCTACTGGGTCATTGTAAGTTCAAGTTCAATGCTCTGGAATTGTTGACTGGAGCGAGTTGGAGAGGGTGGAACGAGGTATCACACCAACCGGCTTCGTTGAGGAGATTGATGTACTTAATCGAGGCTCAGGGAGTGCATCAGGGTGGAGTATTGATGCCCTTTTGACATCAGAAGGTGTAGCCTCACTGTAGTAGTCAAATTTATTTTTGCCGGCTTCTGCCATTCTGCCAATTGCCGTTGTGCCATTTTGCCAATTGCCACGAGGGAATTCCTTTCTGCCCCCTACACTAAATATGTTGCAGTAGGCTGTTGAGGGGAGGCGTTCACACAATTTCCAAATTTGTCTAGTTCATCAGAATTCATTTGATTTGAACTTGGGATCCATGTTTTCAGCTACATTCTTCTATGCACAGACGCGCCTTACACGCCGGACTACCGTGTTCGCGGTAGTTGATAGGAGACGCTGTGTGCTTCGAAAGAAGTTACTCTCATGATCGTCGTCAGACGTTTTCAAGCAATATGACAAGGCCTGTGCACTAGGGTTCGTATTCTCTTCATTCACTTCACCGCCACTGTTACCCTTGTCGGACCCTCGAGGCTGCTGTACGTATGTGATATTTAAGTCAGCCGAGACTCCCCAGACACCCCAGACTCTCAAACGGCATTCTCATAGACCTACATTGTCAATCAATTCAGGTCAGTAATCGGCTCCGACTCAATTTAACTTTGTCACAATCCATGTTTGTTAACGTCCTGTTAGTGCCACAGACCAACCGACGAAATCTTCATCTACAACCCTCATAGTTCTAATCATGGGCGGGGGACACTCACGCCACGAGCCAGACTGGGGAGCAATCCGTGCACAACAAGAAGCTGAAGCTCGCGCTCGCGCCGCAGCTGAGGCTGCTCGTCAAGAAGCAGAACGTGCCGCTCAGGCAGCCCGTGCAGAGGCCGAATGGCTCATGCGCGAGGCGGAAGAAGCACGAAGGCGCTTTGAGGCACAACAAGCAGAGGCAGCTAGAAGAGCGCAAGCTGCTTATGAAGAGGCCCAACGACAGCGCCGCGAGAGAGAGCAAGCCGAGCAGGCAGCACGTGCTGCTCGCGAGGCCGCAGAAGCATGGGCTCGCGAAGAAAGAGAGCGTGCCGAACGACTGGCGCGAGAGGCTGAAGAAGAGAGATGCAGACAACAAGCTGCCCAAGAAGCTGCTAGGCAAGCTGCCATTGCTGCCCAGCAAGAACACGAACGGCAACAGAGAGCCAGGGAAGAGGAAAACAGGAGACTCCAAGCCGAGAGGGAAGCAGCTGAGCGCGCCGCACAACGAGCTGCTGAAGAAGCCAGGCAAGCTCAAGCTGCGAGAGAGGAAGCCGAGAAACAATTGCGAGATGGCACCCGACCTGTGGTCACGCCTACCCCTGAAGAATATTCTGCTTTCAGAGCCAAGATGCAGCATACCGAGGGTTTCTTCCATGTTGCTGTCAGTGGGATTGCCGGTAGCGGCAAGTCGTCACTGGTAAACGCGTTCCGGGGCAAGCATAATATGGATCTTGATGCTGCCGCGGTTGGCGTGAACGAGACCACTCTCGTGGTGGCCAGATACCCAGACCCAAACCCATCCAGCCGCTTCGTCTGGTACGATGTTCCCGGAGCGGGTACCTTGAAAGTCCCCGATTGGAAATACTTCAATGATCAGGGGCTCTTCGTCTTCGACTGTATCATCGTCGTGGTCAACAACCGTTTCACTGCCACTGACGTCGCTATCCTTTCCAACGCTGGGCGCTTTGGCATTCCCGCTTTCATCGTCCGCTCTAAAGCGGATCAGCACATCAGGAACCTCATGAAAGATATAGGCTATAACAGTGACGATGAAGGCGGAAACAAGGCTAGTTACTTTGCGCGGGCGCGTGACCAATACGTGGCAGAAAGTATCCGTAGCATCAGGACTAACCTCCAAGAGGCGAACATACCTGATCAACCGGTATATCTCGTGTCGAACGTTGCTCTACAAGCAACTGTTACTGGCAAGACACCGAAGAAGATGCTGGACGAGGTCAAACTGCTCACAGATTTGGCGAGCACGGCTCAGCGACACGTATAGGTGTTATGATACGATTTAGACTCGGTTTGGATCTGCAGATGTTTTCTACTTTCTGTCGTATGAATCCGTAATATACATGCTCTCAGTCTTTGTGTATTTCAGTCGTGGCAGTATAAGATATCACGATCGCGCTGTTGTTATGTTGACATCAAACGCATAAATGTTCGTAGTGTACAGCAAGACAGGACCCTCAACAACGACACGATCTCTTCAACCACACAATACCGGACTCGGTTGCCCGTCACCTATATCGCTCGATCTCATTCCTCGATCTCGACGTCGTCCTCATCCGAATCACTTGAATAAACCTCTGATTCGTCCTCCTCTGTCTGGTGGTAAAGGCCAATTGATTCCATGGCTGACGGTGACCTAAAATTGAGTAGTCCAAGGGTGTCAACTTTCCCCATGGAATCGCAGAACAGCTGTAAAGACCCCATGACATCGATGGGAAACTGGTCCGTGGAGGCGGCCTCAAAGAACCACCGAATTGCAGCTTTGTGGTGCAAGTCTGGCATCCATACATTGTCCTCGATACGATGCCATGCAGTTCCAGCTATGCTCATTTAGTTGATTCCTATCATCAATATATTTGAGCGTTAGGTGTACGCACATGGAAAGGCACAAATGCTGAGGGTCGGGCATTTGTTGCCCCACGTTCGAACCATCGTGAAGTCGCATCTGTAATCGGACACAAATGTAAAGCCCGCTAGTTCTCGATTACGCGAGACTTCGATGCGGAATTGACTGAGGGAGCTGAAAAAAGGAAGTGCTGTTTCGCATGCTTCGAGAAACTGCACCCATAAATGTCGTGAGCTTTCGGAACGCAGTAACAACTTACAGCTACATTGGCAGGGTCGTGCAGGCCAGGCGTCATTCTAGTGAATGTGAAGCTTTTGATCTTTGGTAGCAAAGTCGCGACATGCATTAAAACTTCAGCATTCCAGTGAGGACGGCACAAATGAAGCTCAGTGAGCGTTGTGGAATATCGAGAAAGGTGCCTGATGAAATGTGGGATCTCTTCGTTGTCGTCCTCGATTTCTGGAGACAAAACAGATCGTAGGGGTGCATCCGGAGAAATTATAAACAGCAGAGATTGGGGAAGGCAGACGGAATTCAGCGAGGAAAGGGATATTCCGCTGAATTCTGACAATGTAATAGATCTAATATCGCTCGGAGATATATGGAGCTCCTGAAGCTGTGGGTGCCTCCTGACGAACGAAGCAAGAGTATGGGGTTCCATTGTAGTGGCAAAGGAATGAAGGTTTGAGAACGCGCAGGCATCAAATGACAGAGATGCTCCGCAGTAAGGAAACATTAACCGGATATTTTCCACATTTATCGCACAGGCCAAGGCACGGGACAGCAGTTTGTAAAAGGCGGACAGATAGAGATAAAAGGGTCTGTTGAATTGAACGAGCGTGGTTACACGTATGCGGGTTACAAGAGGCAAACGCTTACCCTCCTGTGAGACTTAGGCGAGAAAATGCTAAACCTGGCCACAGGAGAACTTTACGAACGGAGGTAGCAGCAATTTTGTTTGAAATGAGGGCCTTGCAAATTTTTATCGTTTCACCGTTGCCCGCCAGGGCCAGAGACCGATAGAGCCATCGTGTCGCACGGGGTTGGAAGCGATTTGAGACGGTGCATAGGGAGAATAGAGTCCCTTTTGGTAAGAGATGTGTTATTTCATCCAAAAGCTCATCTGGGAGGTCAGTGATGGTGGGCATAATCCTGTATCCAAAAGGTGGAATTGTCATTGTTAAATGCACGCGTGTTGTTTGTTTCTGTTGATTTCTAAAGCCTTTGGCAAACAAATCATTCGAAATTTGGTTGGATAATACATTGCCTTCATTCAAAGGGATATCTGCAATGTTACATAACTGACCTACATATAATATTCTGATCATCGGTGCAATTGGATATGGACGAGTAAATTGTTTGGCAATTGTAATGACTCTGGCCTCGTGAGTCGTTAACTGAATTAAAATCAAAAGTCACGTGGTAACGCGTTGTTGACAAATATGTATTGTTTGTAGTTATGGGTCCAACATTATTTGGCTCACGTTCAATTTGTGAGTTGTTCAGACATTTAAACTTTTCTTGCTTCAAGACAGGCGCCTTTTTTCAGTAGCGGCTTCCTGTTACGAAGGCTTTAAGCCGTTTACGCATTCACGCATCCAACGCTCTCTCATAAAGTCAAATCCAAGATCCATTAACAAGCATTTATCAACGCTCAACGATCATCTCAACGTTCACCATGATTCCTTTTATTCCAACTCTTATTCTGGCTTTCGTTTCGTTTATATCATCAGCTTTCGTGATTTTTCGTATAGTAATTCCAATTCTTCCGCCTCATCCTTTAAGCAGACGTGTCGCTCCCGTGTGTATTCAATTTTCCCATGAGCCTCTAATAGCTAATCTTTTTTTAGTCCGAGTTTGGACTGCCTGACTATAATTTTCGTTCTCTTTCTTCAGCGGACAAGAGTCACCTGTGGTTGGCTTCTCTTGATGTCCTGGCTCTGTGCGTCTTCATTTGGCAGGCATTTAGTGAATACTATGGTGGCCCTGCGTCATATGGCGAGGCCCATGACGCTGCATCCTCAGCAAGGTTGTGGTTTGCCTTGACAATCAGGCAAACCTGTCTTTTCGTCGTGTCCGCACTTACGTTGATCCACATTCGTATGGGGCGGTCGGTGTCTTTCGGATCCAGACACTGGATGTTGTGGGCACCCACCCTGCTCCTGGGGCTCGCGTCCACTATACTCTCTGGTTTTTTTGCGGCGGGAGGTATTCCAAGTCTCTTCGTTGGACTCTTGGCATATTCCACTACTGTTGCCGTCCTGAGCAGTGCATCATTTGGCAGTCTTGTGTACACTCTCGTGGTGATCCGACGCAATCTCGCTGCACTCAACGATCCCGCAGACAGCTGGCCACCTACCAAAGAAGTCGAGGATAAACCCCGCCCCTCGTTTGCGACTGAGGATGTTGACGTCCTCAGGGAAGGTAGCTCCTGGCTCACCTCTGATGCCGGCAGTACGCATCATGATTCAGTGTCTAACTGGTCTTTCTCAACTCATCAAACGCACCCTCGTCCTGGTTCCTTGGGCGCCGACTGTGCTGTGACATCCAAAACCTCCCTTGCGCCTAAATCGTCTTACTGGTTCGATCCGCCCACGCCTATGACCGGTGATGCATTAATTCCACCAGTCCCATCATTGCCTTCATCATACCCTTCATCGCCCGCTGATGCCCTAAGCTCCGATCCTGATCCTTTCCGTCGTGATGCTCCGGGTCGGCCACGTCTCGACTCACAGAGCTCATGGCTGACTTCAACGTCTGGGTCTCAAATCTCACTATCTGCATGGTCCTATCCCACTAGCCATCAAGGCGGCGTCAGTGTCGTGGATCTTAATGCTGAGCTTCTTCCCCAATGCAACCGGCCCCCGACCCCTGCTCTGTCAAGTGCTCGAGTTCTTGGAGGATATGGATACCAGGGTGATTCAGAAAGGGGTATTGCTTCTCTGGCGTATAACGGTAATGATGTTGATATCTCAATTTATCGGTACGCCTGCTGGATGATGACAATTTGGGCACCTTTAGTAAGTCCTCCTTGTTTCACGCTACAACTAGCTCTAATAGCTGGTCACCAGGCGCTCTCCCTGCCATATATTTTATCTTTCGTTGGGAAAGGCTTCGTATCTTCTGCCACGCCTCTTCTTCTTGCCCTCTCGGTCACACTGTCTTCGCCTCTCCTTGCCATGAACATCATTATGCGCTCGCCCATCCCTATCCCGACTGGTCTTTTCGAGGTTCATGGAGAACCTCCTTCTATCTGCATGCGGGCGCCATCTCCGGCTGTCACTCTCACCGACTGTAACCGCGAGTGCAAGCGGTCTGGGTCAGTTACAGTTGTCGAAGGGAGACGCTCTGGAGATGTCTGGCTCTCACAAGGGGATGCCGTGGAGGGGAAAGGCAAACTTAGCAGGGCACTTGGTCTTATGACCCCTGTTCCGCGCCTAGCTGTACTGCCCCCTGAAGATGAAAAGGAAGATGGAGAGATGACGCCCCCTCTGCCAATGCAGACTGAGTCTGAATCATTCAATACTTCTGTGTTCCCTAATACTCCCCGTTCTGCGGAGTTCGGGAGAATTAGGAAGCAATCAGTTCAGTCGAGGATTTCAGGCGATGAATTCGCCTCGAGAATAATGGTTGCCCAGAGGCATTATTCTGCGCTCGCAACTACGGTGATTGTCACTGCATCACCGGAGAAGCAAAGTGGCGATTTACTCACTGTAACTACTGGTGTTGGCGTAGAGAGGAAGCCGGTCCTTTCTAGTTCTTCGCACCTTCGCTCTCGCTCTGTTTCCTCGGTTATCGGTCAGGCGATCAGCACAGACTATAGCCCTAGTCCTAGCCCCAGTCGACCTCCGTCTCAACCTCTTCCTCCCACACCTCCTAATGTTCGTCTTGCCAAGCAACAATCAACGCGCACTCTCATCCACCGGAAGTCGTATTCATCTGGTTATAGCTTCGGTGCAACTGTCAATGACGATGTTAACGAGATCGATGTGCTCACCGCTGGTGTTCTGCCGCTTCTTGTACCTGGCTTAAAGGTTGGAAATGATATGAAGCTCAAGGATTTCGAGTTCGAGTTCGACCCCCCTGTCAGCAGCACTGTGACAAAGAAGAAGCGCCTGCCAGCTTCCTGCACTCAGGAGGATAATGGTGACTTCGGTGTGCTCGCCAACGGAGAGTGGGAAAGTACCGCGCTGCACTCGACAACCGCCAATGCCAAGGTCAGGCTCAACAAGGCGTCTGTGCATAAGAGACATCAGTTCAGTCTTCCTAGGTAAGCTAGCCCCTGACTCCCATGTTTGTTCTGATGTTGGTTGTGCAGTCTTGGTCTTCGCAAGGACACAGTCAGTAATTTGAAATCCGAGATTGGTCGCACGCTTGCTACAAGGATTGGGGGATACGCTACTGTAAACGATGGAAGGCGCAACACGCCGGCCTGGCGGGACGACTCGGAACCGGCCTCCAACCTTCTCGCAGATCCCCCCGTGAATGTTGATAAGCAGCCTGTTCAGAATGGTGCTTCTCTCGGTCGCACGGCGTCTACTCGCACTCGTGGTGCCGAAGTCCCTCACAGCATGGAAAGTGCACGTACCTCCGTCGCTACCCTCGACACTGCAACAATATTTCCTCCGCCATCCGCTGCGTCCACGGTCACCCTCTTTGACCCTATGACCGAATTCGATCCTGCTGCGCAAAGCACGCCACTGCACGAAAAAGAATATCATTTTGCACGAAAACATCAAGCTGCCGCTATGCCTCGCTCTCAACCGACTTCACAACGCTCAAGCATTGTATATATTAGATCATCCGAAAAACACACTCAAGCACCATCAGAGCCAGAGGCTCAACCGCCCACCGAACGAAATAACACTAATGACATGTCATCTCTTACAGTCGCACAGTGGTCCACCCGGGTGGTGAAACCACTTATACTCCCGTCCAGCAAGCAGCGCAAGGACGCCACAGAGCCCGCAACGAAGTCGGGCTCGAATTCTCTTCGTACTCTCTCCCTTCTTAAAGATCGTGTTTCGAACCATGACAGTACTGGCGATGCCCGTAACGGGTTCGCAGGTACACGACCGCTCGTTCTTGGAAAGAAGAGGTCAAAGACAGTGAAAGAGCACGATGAGAATGTTGCTCCCAGCGCTAGTTCTGTGAACAAGCATCTGAAGCCGCTCAAGCTTAGTCGGACAGAGTCGAGCAAGGTTCGCGGAATACTTCGCAAGGACGAAACGCTCCCTATCGTGTTGGTTCGCCCACCGTCTAACCAGATGGAGTCGATTTACGAGGTTCGGTGAACATTGACTTATAGTTTCTACGCTTTCCCCTCAAATCATGCTGTTTGCTTTGGGCTCTTTTTTTTGCTTCCCTGAGCGTCTGCTCGTAATTTTTTTTTCGTTTTCGTGCTTTCATGTTGCTTTTACATTTTCCGCAGTGCGTTTGGTTTCGCTATCACGTTTCACATAGAAATTTAATTGTCACGAAGTTAACTAATGTCCAAATTATTGCATGTATCGTCGACGCGATATACAGTACAACTTTATGCCTTACCCTTCCAATCTTATATGTTGATCCTTTTCGTGTCAATCACTGGTCACCATCAGGCTTGTGTGGTGGCGTAACATTGTGATATCATCAGTAAGTACATCAATCGACGATTGAAATAGGTGCATAAGCTAATTGATCACAGAGATGAGCCATTCGGTGAAAGATTTGCTTCTCATTCATGTAGATCTACTAACATCCCATAGAACTGTCCTTCTCATCCGTCACGGTGTGGCCGGGTATCCATCCTTCACTTATGCCAAAGGCCGTCGTCGTACATGCTTATGACGATCAGGACGGCGCGTTGTTGCATGTGAGTCATGTCAGACTCTGTCCGGCTAGTTTTTGCTGACGAAACTTCGTTAATTGGAGTCCCTCGTTACAGTAGACTACGAGATTGCGCGAGACACAGATGCGAGCCATGCACAATCTGCCGAATACACGACAAGCAATTTGGTTGTGCAGCATTTGCATACCAATACAACCTTGCGTGTGCCCGCCTTGAAGGCTATGTTCAAAAATATCATGATGATCAAGACGTTAATACTATTGAGAGTATAGCGAGACGGTCACGCGCAGCTAGACACAAAGGTACGAATATCTCAGTATTCGAGTTGAAACTCAGATTTAACAAACGTTGTACCTAGACACAAAGGTACGAATCTAATATAACGTTAGACCTCGAGTCGAACGTTACGAAAATACTAACTTACATCTCAGTATTCGAGTTGAAACTGAGATGTTTGGATGCGGGTACCTGGGCTTATAAGGTGAGTCTCCCAGGTACAGTAATTTACGCTAAGCTAAACTAAAAGATGGACAGCGCACAAGTTGGCCACGACACGTCGACCTCATTCTCCGTTTGGATGCGCTCGCACTTGGTGTCCTCTCCCTTGGCTCTACGCTTCGGCCGGTTGCTGCTTCTCCCTCTCGGCTCTCATCCTTTCGGCCTTGTCTCCTTCGGATTCGTCGGATCCCAACAAATACTACCACTTCCCACTTCCGCGAAGCCCTTGCACTGCCCGATCATGCATTGTCCCTCCATAATCGGTACGCGATCTTCAGGGCTTCTCGCGGTTCCTGCTCCGGCGGACTTGCAAGCCTGTAGATCCAATTGCAGAGCGGTCTTGTCAAAGGATCCACTGCCGTATGGAACGTAAGCTCCTGCTGCAGATCCTGCAGAGGTAGATTTTAAGGATGTATAAGCCATACCAAAGGTACTAGTAGGTGATGTATTCATTCGATGCACTTGCACGAGCTGCAGTGAGCTCTCCGCTCAAATCGATCTTCAGTTCATCCATACTAGAAGCTCAACTCCCATCGCTGCCATTGCCATTGCCCAGGCTGGCTATCGGCTGTGCGTTATACCATTTGCACCTTGAAGAACAAGTCAACACTGCGCTCTACCTCTACTACTACTGTGAGGATGCAACTGCGTGAACTAGGACGTATATGTAGAACCGTTTAGCAAAATTAAAATTACATAGTTCGTCATATCAGATAGGCGACAAAGAAATAGCGTATTGTAGTGGTATTAGGACTATTGGGTATTTGTCAACGATTGTCGACGGCTGCGGGTCTGTATATACCCTTCGTACGCATCCTTCGCATCCTGTAGAAGAGTCGTTAAAAGTGCCTGTTCGTCGCTGTTGAGCCCCGACAGATTAACATTTCCAGGTTGAAAGATACTTGTGTCGTCCTCTTCTTTCTCGACCTGAGCCACCACTTGCTCCCTCCACTTCTGCCATACTGGCGTCTCATTAGGCAAAAACTCCAACAGAATTTTCATCGGCTCAATATCCTTGAGAGGCCTTGGTAAATTTTCGCAAAGAACGAAGCATGTGAATGCAGCCATGCTGGTCCGCGTGCTAGCTTTGAACCCGACTATGGCTGTCTCGTGAAGTTTGATAGTGTCGCAAAAGAGTTTTCGTTGTAGTTTTTCATTGTCTAGGGATGCGAGGAAGGAGTTGTACGCCCAGGATGCGACCACCGATATCAGGAACATGATCTGACCGATCAGCAATCCCTGGGGAATGAGGAGGAGCTGTAGCAGAAACTGAACCTCAAGGAGTAGCGAGCACAGCCCGACAGCTGTATACTCTGGTTCTCCTTTCAGCTTTAGCGAAAATTTTCCCTTCGTGATGGCATTCACGTCCTTTTCCTTTCCCTTCAGGATGATGACGCCATTCTGCATCAAGAGGATCCCGTCTCCTGGAGGGGAGCCCTTCGCTGGGTTCTTGACCGTTTCGATACCAAGGACTCCGGAGCCGATGACGAAACACGTGACACCACTAGAAATAATTCCGAGAAGGATCATCGCAAAGGAGTACCAGTCTGCGTATAAGGCGGAAAAGATGCATGAACTGATGCTGACCAGGATGGGGAAGCTGGCGAAGACGGCATGGTGATAGCTCATGGTCTGCACAAGGAGGTTGTCATATGCAATTTCAGGGACAGTGACGATAGAGATGCGTGAATTTGTAGTGGTTCGTGTGGCAGGAAGGAGAATTGGCTTTACATCATCTGTCCCCTGCGTTAGGAGATGTGCAAAGTGTCCTGTCTGTTGCATGACAGTTCCTGAGCGTGATGCCACGTATTTCGGGCCAGTCTTCACGTCCAGCTTGAATGCAATAGCTGGATCGTGGTTAGAGCCAGGAAAAAGACCGCTCCAAAATCTTGACTTGGATATCCTGCCGAACTCCTTGGCTATAGTGTAGCTGCCGGGGGAGTTGTACCAGCCGAGCCATCCACGCCCCCTGTATAGGTGCACAGTAGCCATGGCGGTGATAGCTTCTTCGCCGCCGAAGAAACCAGCAACACCGGAAGCATCGAGACTGAATTTGTTAGAATCAGCAATTGGCCAAATCAATGGAGGCATCTAAGACGAGTCAGAAATTTTGAGTTTGTCATTGGGTTGTCCGTCACTATATACCCAAGACTAGACCTGCGGCCGGCTCTATCGCATGTTCTGGAACTGGGAGGGCAAAAATAGCCCTTTCTGAGAGCTTGTGGTAAGCGCTCTGAACCCTGATCACATCCGAGTGGTGCGGGAGGCCCCCTCGAGGTGGCCGTACCAGCGTTAAAAATCCATCCCATAGAAATTCGCAAAGAAGAATGATCTTGTTACCGCCATACGATCACGTCGCGAATAGTTCGTCATGATGACTACACTTGAGCGCTCTGAACCCTGAACCCTTCAGAGTCTGTACATCATGGAAGCTCCCCACATGGTATCTGCGCTAGCACCAGAATGCGATCCTGTAAAACCCAGTAAACGAGATTAATCCACGATGCCGGTTCAAGCATAATACGTAGCGTTTTTACTTTATCAGAAGAGGAATGGACAGTTCTTTGGCACTCGGCAGCGTCTACATCATGCTCGGTTAGGGAACAAAATATAGCCGGGCATGATGCATGATGCATGATGGTTGCATGTTCTGTGCAATGCGATGGATAGTCACCTCGACTCGATGATCGAGTGTGGGCGTACTTATCTTCACGATGCATCGTTGTGGATCCATATCCACGAACTCGGGAAATGCCGGTTTTGAACCAGGGGAAAATATCGAGTTAGCAGCTTGCCCGAATTTCTTGGCAATAGCGTGATCTCTCGGTGCTAGCGGGCGGCGAAATCGCTTCATCCGTACCCAAGAATCCTGTAACACCAGATTGAAATGTGACTGGTTCATTGGTACATTGAAGGTGAGCATGGTATGAGTCACTGCAATCAAAGACCTCATTGCCATTGCTTCACTGCAACCAGGTTGTCGAACACTGCTCGACAAGGCACCTACGTGACACAACTTGAGGGGAATTTAAAGCACTTATTTACGTCGCCGAGGTATGTTTAACCTCTTCACTGCACGGTGGCTTCATTTTCCATCTAAACTCGACTATTTATCGATTGTCAATGTACAATGCAAGCTCGCGATATTGAGACTCGACTGTTTGGTTCCTGCTTCAATAGATATCGTCGTCTTACTGACGGCTCACAAATGCCCATTAGGCGGCAGGTCTATCCAACAGCCTTGGCCGGGTCTTACAGTCTGAACGGGGTTTAAACACAGCTGGAAGTGCTGTTGGCTGCTGTCATGTCCTAGACTTTGGCCCAAACGTTGTCCTGGACCGGCTAAATCTCTGATACAATGGGCCCTTGGTCGGCCTTTCAACGTTCAACACTAATCCTTCTCAGGCTGCTGGATGAAATCAAACCATAAACAAGCCCTATTGTAAAGTAGATTCGCATACTACCTTCCAATAACAACTGATTTTACTCAGTTTCAAACTTGAGAGCCCGTATTCTGATAACAGACCTCAGGCATTCCAATCCTTCTCGAATGTTGATGGAATCGCTACCCTTATTGAGACACTTACGAGCCATTTTCTCGAAGGCCTGGATTTGCCAGAGGGGTCAAAGCCGAACGAATTCTTTGGGAAGATTCACGAGTACGTCTCGACTCTCCTCTGTACTAGTTGCTGGGAAGCTAGTGCTTCATTTTTTTTGGCAGAAAGCCGCTTCCGAAATAGACCACTATCAAGACATAACATGATTCTCATAACTTACTCGTACCTCCTGCTGGCGCGCACGCTACTTTGGAGGCAATTTGACCGAAGTTTCATCAACTCGCATTGCCTTGCATAACCGATCTCCGTGTACCTTTCCTTGTCACTCTTAAGGGAATAAAGGAACGAGTTGTAGATCCGAGACGTTGCAAGCGAGGGAAAGAGAACATCACCTGACCGGAAATTGCGCGAGAAACCAAGAGGAGTTGCGACATGAACTGTGCCAGCGGAAGGAGAGATGCTGGCCCCGAGGCAGCACCACAAAATCAATGAACGGTAAGTCTTGGAGCCGATTACATCAGGCCAGCACGTTGCTTGTGAGAGATATGCATCGGAAGCAATGAACCGGCGCGCCAATAGGATATCATTGAACACCGACTTCCTGGAATATGCTGACGCCCGACCTTCTGGAACATGATGATTCTCACCAAACCTGGTCGTCACAGCCCATCATACATTTGGTAACACTCGTATAGCTGTGGCAACTCATCGATGTGAATGATAATGATTTCAAAACTCACCATACAAATTCCACCCTGAAATAGGCTGATAACAGTCACAGAAGGCTCACCCTGAGTGGCAAGAACGCATTTTTGGGATGCCATGCGCTGTGGGCGACGGCGCCAATGGAGGGATACGATGCAACGGGGCGCTCGTGTCTGATGCAATTGATGGGCCCATCGTGTCAGAAGTAGTTGAGTTATTGAAGACGACCCTTACCATTCGATGCAGGGTCCCATATTTGAGATAGTAGCAAGGTATTCTCGACCATGCGAGAAGCTCGAGGCATTTCTGAAGGAATCAGGTGCCAGTGTGCTTTAATTCACACTGGCAAGCGGATGATAACGGGCTGGTGTGCGTCGAGAGTGAAAAAATGGGAGTACGTGATTGCGATTACATGACTAGACAGTGTCTCCGATGGAGAGGGAGGTGGGTGCGATGTAGCACGACCAGTGCATAGCGCGTAAACGTGTACTCGGGCGGGGATCACCGGCACCGAGGACAGGGGTATAAACTCTATTTGTATTTGAAAAATTTCTCAACCACGACTCCGAGCAAACTCCGAGGAGTAGTAGATAGTACCACTTCAGTGAGTACTTACACTTGTCTGAATGCACCGGCAGCCGCTGTGTTCCAATCAAGGCTGTGATTCCTTCGGCCGCAAATTTGATGTAAAGATGCTAGTGGTGAGTCGTTGATGGCATATCTTGGATTGTTCAATCCTGACGGCAGATAAAATGCATGGTTGATTACAGTTGCATGATTGTACATAGGTGCAAGTTACATCTTCCTCAGCCACACTTAAGCCAAAGCTTTTCGTTCACAGCCAGTTCATATGCGGTGCGAGCGTCCTCTAACAGGTTTTCGAGAAGCTTTTGGTCATCGGGCTTGAACATATCTTTCTCCTGGTCACTCATCTGTAGCAAATCGTAGCAAGTGTCTCGGCTGCAAACTTTCTGGTCCCTCATTACACCCAAGACCTTTTCTCTCCATGTCATCCATACTGGCGTATCATTTGGAATGAATTTGCGGATGATACCTTCTGGTTCGAAACCTAGTCTCTTCCACTCCGATTCTTCATAAACACCAGGAGGCTGGAGCATTAGGCATGCGAATACGGCGGCAGTTGTTCTCGTGCCAAGGCTGTAAGTCCGCATATGTTGCTCATTCAGATTGAGTGCTTCTAGGAGTAACTCTTCCTGGATATGCTCGTTGTCGATCGAGGACAAGTACAGGTTGTACGCCCACGAAGCTGCGAAAGAGGACAAGAACATAATTTGACCAAAGAACGTGCCCTGGGGAATCAAGAGCAGTTGCGCGAGGAGTTGTGTGACGAGCAGGAGCGAACACGATCCAATAGCAGCATACTCGTCCTTAACGGGTACGGCCTCATGGTTTGGACCTTGGTCTAAAGAAATGTTTCGAAAACCGTCTTCTGCATCGCTTCTGCGGTTTGATTTGGTTGACCTCGTTCCGTCTCTAAGAACAAAACGTTTCCTCTCTTCCTTCTTGCTCCTCATCTTAACCCAAGACTCATATCTTAGAGTGAACCTGCCTCTCGTAATGGTAGCGACGTCTTCCTCTTTCCCGAGTAGGAGGACGACATCATCACCGTCCATCAGCATTCCGTCTCCGGGCGGAGCCGTAGGTGCTGACTTCACACCTTGCAGCTCTAAACTTGCGGACCCTATGACCAAGGAGGCCATGCCGTTTGAGATGATGCCAAGAAGGATCATCGAACAACAGAACCAGTCGTATGTCCACCCGCAAAGTGCGCATGTCGTGAAGCTGACGGCTATCGGTAGAATTGCAACGTATTTTTGACGCCCGTCATGAGGTTGGATCGCGCGTACTGGCGGTTTCTCTTTTGCCGTCGATTCCTCAAAAACGAGTTGTGTCTGGATAAGAGTTACGTTATTCCGCTTCGTGACTCTTCCTCTGACCTGCACTCCTAACTCTTCTTTGCATATCTGCATCATCAGGTACGCAAGGTGGCCGGTGTGCTCCAGGATGGATCCAGATCTAGAAGCAACGTATTTTGGGCCCTGCTTCCCATCAAGCTCGAAGAATTTTGCGGGGTCTTCATTAGGTCCAGGGAAAAGCCCGTCCCAAAAACGGGAATTTGCGAGCATTCCGAACTTTTTGCCAACGTTCCAGCTGCCAGGTGAGTTGTACCATCCCATATACTTTCTGTACTTGTAAAGATGAATGGTTTGCATTGCAGAGATGGCTTCTTCACCCCCAAAGAACCCTGCGACGCCGGATACGTCGAGGTCAAAATGACCTGCTTGGATGTCAACGGGATGTTTGTAGGTCATGGTACGTATGTTGCGATTTGTTTCACAGAATACGGTCCACAACTGCTCTTTTAAGTGGTGCACCTGATGGGGCGCATGGAGTCAGCACACTCGGAAGTACATGAGCTCTAGCTATCCAGCACGTGTTCTCCCCGTGTAATGTCCTGTGAAGATTATGCCGCTAATATCACAGTGATGCACTGATTTATCGATCCCTGTTCCAAAAGCAATCACGTGGGTATGTTATTAGTGACACCTTTGCCAGTATGTGCTCGATCTCATCCGTAGTCATTAGTCCTTCACGGTCTGGGTGTATCGAGTTCACCATGTGTTGTATTGATGTGATCTAGGGTTGCAGCATACAGCTTACGAGGTTTGGGTGCTTCGGTTGCACAGCCTACTGGAAGCTGTGAAGCGAACACGAGGACGTGCCAGCTCAACTTTCCAGTGCACTTTGGACCTAACGCTCATTGTGTCTTGGTGTCGACACATCGTGACCTGCTGAGGAGAAAACATATCGTTGTAAGTGATGATTTTGGACTATGTGAGATGAAAGCTGAAACGAAGCTTTGCCTAGATGTATTCACCCATCGTTGGAAGACAGGAGACATCGAGGATAATGCCCCGCCAGAAATTCGAGGGACACACTGAGTCGGTCCACAGCGCCATACATCTACCAGGCAGACAACGGATCATGACTTGTTCATCGGACGGCTCGCTGCGGGTATGGAACTTGAAGAGCGGGAAACAGATAGGATACGACTGGCGCGACGGAGACAATCCAGTGTGGACCATCTCGTTGTCTCCAGACGGGAAGAAAACGGTCAGCGGAGGTATTGATGGCGAAATGAAGTTGTGGAATATGGACACAGGCAAAGTCATCATGAAATGGATGGGGCATACTAAGACAGTGAATTGTATCTGCTGGAGTGGAGACGGTCAGCGCGTCTTGAGCGGATCTGACGATGGAACTGCAAGACAATGGGATATAGAGAACGGAGAGACAAACCTCGCACCAATCAAGACAGGGCAGGCATATTACAAATATGTAGTCGCCTACTCGCCAGACATGACCATGTTTGCAACTGGTGGACACGAACAGCACGCCAAAATTTGGGATGTCAAGACAGGCAAGTTTGTCGCAACTCTTGAAACTGATTCGGTGTGGTGCCTGGCTTGGACTCCGGACGGAACAACGCTTATATCTGGGTTATACGATGGCTCGATTAGGACATGGAGTACTGCAACTTGGAAACAAATCGCAGTGTTGGATGCGCACACTCACCCTGTCGAATCCATTGCAATATCTCCGAATGGCCGCATCCTCGCGAGCGCATCCTGGGACAGCACAGCACGATTATGGAACCTGGACAACAACCAGCTCATCGGTTCGCCCCTCCAGCATCCAGATTACGTGGCTTCTGTGTCATTTTCGGCAGATGGAAAGCTACTAGCCACTGGCTGCAATGACACAAATGCGTATACATGGGACGTTTCTGGCATACTGAAAGAAGCCGGCCTTAGCGAACTTCTGTTGGACAAGCCGGTCCTTGCTGTACGTGACACTTTTTATGATCAGGTCTTATTTGCTGATATCCTATCACAATTGAACGTATTCCTTCTAGGCTCCACGTCCAGTCCGTCAGCCAATCATCATCCCCCAGCGCCGGGTGCCTCATGGTTTTTTTGACGACTTGCCGGATCGGGCTCACGTACGTCATTAACATCTAATCCATACTTTTTTTTCCTGACTTGCATGTTCTCAGCATGCATCGCATGCAAGCGCCCTTCGTGACCGGTTTTCCTCTTTATTCCACACCGACGCCCACGATACGTCTTCGCGACCCCGTCCTTTCCACTGGGTTCGAAATCGTCTCTCTGGGAGATCAACCGGTGAAGATATCGAGCTGAGCGAGCGATCCCCAGGAGTAGTCTATGTTCCGTATGCTAAGGGCAAACGTGTATGTTGTCTGTTTGCTTCTCAAATATTCAAATCCCATCTCATACAACAGAGGAACGCATGTGCAAGAGAAAAACGGATGAAAATAGTTCCATTGAAACCTGGGAACTCTGCAGCAAGCACCTCGCATCCTCCCAATGACAATACCACACAACATTCTAATGGTGCCCAGTCTTCGCAAGCACAGGCTGCTGTCTCCCCTTCCACCACACCTCCCGCCGTCACCAATACACCCTCAAACACTAATCCTCATGTAACAATAAGACATGCCGGACGCTGGACTCGCTTCTGGCTTCTTATTTGTTGCACCTCTACTGAGTATACCCATGATCATCAGTAATACATCCCGTCTGCTTCCTTGTCCTTACGAAGATCTCTCCTATTTCATCCTTCCAGTTAAAATGGAGACAAATTTGAATTTGAGGAACGCCACGGTCGATTCTATCTCAGTACGTTCTCGTAAGGCCTCCCTGGGCTCCATGCGACAATCATCAGCTGTTTGGTTTTCTTATTGTCAAGAGGGAACTTTGGGACATAGGGACCATTGCTTTCAAGCAGATTCAGCCAGACAAAACTTTACCAGACGACCATTCATACGTCCCCATGAATTCCCTTGCGTTTGTCAAGGTATATCTCGGTCTTCACCTTTGTACTTTGGCATATGGAAAGGTGGTCGGAGGCTCGAAGAATACCCTATCGGAGTGCATGTCGTTGGGAGAAGTGTTGTTGTCAGTATTGTGGAGGGATGCAGAATCCTAGACGATCTGTCCAACGCCAAGTCAAGTGCGTTTCCTGGAGGTGAAGCTTAAGCGCTCACCGGGATGGTGGGTTGAAGTCCCAGTGCGTATGCATGTTCATCTCGACGACCGGCGTTTAGCTGACATTCTTTATTCACTTATTGTTGGCAATTTTGATGAATAGGGCGCCATGGTTCCATGGCTGGTCGTATTACCTACCCACATAGGTATATTGCTGTTAGCGACACCTTTGCCGGTATGCGCTCGAGCCCATCCGTACTGATCAGTCCTTCACGATCTGGGCGCATCGAGTTCACCATGTGTTGTGTTAACGTCATCTAGGATTGCAGCATGCAGCTTAGGTTACATAGCTTCTGAACAGTTGGTAAGTACGTTACAACGAATACTAGACATGACTCTAAACAAAGTTGTCCGGTCGAGGTACTTGTTTCTCAGAAATGTGACTATCGTCTTCGATCTTATGTACTTGCTCCTGGTAACCTCCATATGCGTCCTGTGCGTCTCGAAGCAATGACGCCAGGAGGGCCCTTTCATGATCTCCGAACCCTCGTAGATCTTCTGAGCTAAGCTTGAACGACTTTTCTTCTGTGTTATTTTCCAACTGCTCCGCCACTTTGTCTCTCCATACATCCCATACCCTTGTGTCGTTCGAGATGAACCGATGCAAGACTTTCTTTGGTTTGAAGTCGACAGATGGCCTTTGGATGCCATGACTGAGGACCAAGCATGCAAAAACTGCCTGAGCAGCTCTGCTTTTGAGGCCAAATTTCAATAGTCGTGGATTACCAAGTGCTTTCCATAGGAGTTCGACTTGTATCTTCTCCTGCTCTAACGACGACAAAAATGAATTATATGCCCATGAGGCTGCAACCGATGAGATAAACATGATCTGCCCGAATGTCGATGCCTGAGGCATGAAAAGGAGCTGGAGAAGAAACTGCGCAAGGAGGAGAAGCGAGCAGAGTCCAATCCGTCTGTACTCTGGGCCGCCATGCATCCTCAGGACAAATTTGCCTTTCGTTATTGGATTGATGTCTTTCTCTGCACCTCGGACAATGACCACATTGTTTCGCATCAGGAGTATCCCATCCGCAGGCGGCGTGCCTGGAGAGGGTTCTTTCACGCCAGCAAGAAAGTCGAGTTGAGCAGAGCCGATGACAAAGCAGGATGTCCCGCCTGAAATGACTCCCAGCAGGATGAGGGCAAAGGCTAGCCAATCTCCCGAAGCCGCGCAAAGCACGCATGTTGCGAGATTGATGGTGATAGGGATAGCGGCCAAGAGAGCATGGTGGACGCTCATCATTGGCGCCTGGTCCGTGTGCTTGAGTATCACATCTCCGACATCGAGGATGGTGACTGTTTGAGGTATAGTCTCCCGTCCTCCCAATTCTACCACTTCCTCGACTTCTTCCGTCTTCTGCACCACGAGGTATGCCAGGTGACCACAGGCCATATCCGTGCCTGATAAAACGCCCCAATAACGGGGGCCGGTCTTTCCATCCAGCCCAAATACTTCAGCTGGTGTTAAATTTGGACCAGGGAAAAGCCCATCCCAAAATCGCGAATTAGCAAGTTGCCCGAACTTTTTGGCAACAATGTAACTTCCTGGTGAATTATACCAGCCTAGCCAGCGCCTCCCGCGGTAAAGATGGACAGTTGCCATCGCTGAGATGGCTTCATCCCCACCAAAGAATCCAGCGACGCCCGACGTGTCAAGATTGAAGCTCGACTGGCTGATGGACACATTGAGGGTGGGCATCTAAACCTAACCATTAGTTGTAAAGCAACTCAACAATAGGCTCGTTTCCCTCAAGGTAGCCGGACGCAGGGACCTGGTGGGAATTTTTCATTCAAGGGTCGAGACTTACTAGTTCGGACGACCCCTCATCGACATCGTGTAAGTAGAATGCATAGCAATCTACAACTACTTATAATATCATACCCACGCAGCGCACAAATGTCCGGCAACTACTAGTGAGGTGCCTGTCAGGTACAATCATATATCAACCAAGCTCTCAGATCATCCATCCCGCTCTAAATCAATCACTGGCAGTTAGACAGTGATACATATCTAGGGACCGGCCTTAGGGGGCCTCCTTGTTCATCTGGGTTACAAGGTACGCAACGTGAGTCGTTCCAGTTCCCTCCAATGATGGTGCCACACAGAGAAGCGATGTTTTTAGGACCCAACTGCTTGTTTAGCCCGAGAACTTTGTATGGCTGTTAAGCTCGGATAAAAGTGCGTTCCAGACCCGATGGTGCTCGGGCACTTGACGACGGCGAAGCCACTGGGAGCATTGTATCAGTGGATAGTCAATATGGCTTGTACGGCTTCGTCTCCACCGAAGAATCGTGCGACGCCAGATACATCCAAGTTGAATTTGGTGTTGAGATATAGTTGGTATGTAGTTACACTGTCGCTCGCTCACTCGAATGGTCTGCAAAACTGCATTTTGGATCTCTGCCGACTTGTGGATGACATGGAAGTTCTTTCCTCCTGTTTCACTGACGATTCTCGGATACCCTTTGTACTTGTCTAGGTTTGCGGCGATGTCTTTCCATAGCTTCTTGAATATAAACGTGCTGCCTGTGAAGTGGAGCGCTGGAAAGTTGGGATGGGATATCGCCTGTGCGACGACTTCTGGAGGTGGCCCGGAACGAACTGGATGACGCCGGGTGGAACACCAGCCTCCGCGAGGATCTGGTAGATCAAGTAGTTGGAATATGTGGCTGCTGTTGTACTCGAAGAACCGATCTTTACAATGACAGTGCAGAGTTCAATATTATGTGTGACCGTGCGTGTCTTATTGAAATATGTTACAGTGCTCGTCTTGATCCTCTATTAGCTGAGGCGGCTCAGATTGTCCTCAATGCTCTAGTCAAGACTGTCATGATACCCCATAAATCCACACACGGCGATCGTTACTTCGGCTATCCATTCCCGCCTGAGATCACCCCATCTACCTTTCCTGGATGGCGTGTTGGCACATCCATCCACCAATCTCCGAAGCACACTGTCTTCTGTCATCAGTTTCTTTGCAGGAACGTACAAGTCAACATTTGGTTTCGATCAAGGTCCTCCTCTCCATGATGCACTGACCATCACATGTGTCCCGTCCCGAGTTCTTTAGAGCTCAACGTTTCAGAGTAGATGTGGAGTTACATGGTAAGCACACGGTGGGAGAAACCGTGACGGTCATCATTATCGGATATGTGACGACTCACGGGGCTCTAATGGAAAGAATTGCGTTGTCACCCACTGGTCAGTTCAGGTGTGTATTCGAACGTACAGTAAACCTTCTCTTCTCACAATATCAATGTCCCTAGGTTTGCCCTAGGTCGACCAATTCTTTGAATTGCTTTTGGAATGTGTCTCCTGATGTGATGCCATATCTCCGCTCAACGTACAACAACAATGACTCGGATAATTCACAGAGCACCTTCACACTTCTGGTCGACTTACCACCGTTCTCTACATCTACTCACGCTCTCACTACCATTGCTGAAGATTTGTTCTTTTACTTACGTGTATTCAAACGCGATGCGCCTTATGACCAGTACATGTAAGATACCATTTCTGCCATGACTTTGCCGCACCTATTAAGTCGCAAACGCCATAACAGTTGAGCGCTTTCAACGAGGTTATTGTTGGTTAATAGTTACGTTCCGCATGCTGTGCATACATGCTTACCATAACAGCCTGGCGTCTGTCACAGAATTTCTAATCGTGCATGTCAAATCAACATCTCATAGGAATTGAGTGAAGTTATTGATCGTATGGATCTGCTGGCTGTATTTGTCAAGACATTGTCTGGTTTTTATGATGGCCGCTACGCAAACACGTTGTCATTGCCACCCGAGCCAGGAGCATCATTTCCTCATCAATATCAGATAGGTTTCAGTTACCAATTACGACTCCATGACAATTATCCTTGTCTGAATACTTTGTTCTTTGACGTCCGTAGGTGCTGCTGGCGCTCGTGCCACCTGGAAGGTCACCACCGATCGCTGTGAAGTTGAATGGCGACACTGCGAGAACAAATACTTCCAGCTATCCAATCATCATAAGTATCTGATACAAGGCGTACTGGATTTATTTCCATAATCCCGCTGCGTTCTTACGAGGCTGTTTCGCGTGAAGCTCCTCGACATATTTGACGTCGAAACAGAAGCTGCGAAAATTCCATCAATCGACTGCCATCGAGCTTACGCACCTATGCGGCAGCATCGATCTTGGCCTGCAAGTGTTCTTCCCTTGACCAAGCATAATAGCTGCTACCAATTCATAAGCAGACCGGTGGGCCATTGGCGATATAGGGAACCTCGAATGGAAGTTCGAGTTGCATCTGAGTAAGTGCGGCTTCGAGACCCTTGCGCTCTGCTGACCCCGCAGCATGATAGGTTCGCTGCCCACATGATTCGGGATGAGAAGGAGTAACTCGTAAAGTTCACGTAGACTCACCTTAGGTTCATTTTCGATTGCAGGTACTTGAATGTGACGAGCTGTGGTGTAGACATTTTGGAGACAAAGTCGTTGAAATAGGTAGATATGGAAGAGTTACCCAGCACTTTAATTCATTTTCCTCACTTCGAGGTTGCTCTCGCTACGATCTCTTTCGAGAATCCATTCATCAGGAAATCTGAGATATACATTCCATTGCCTGTGATATTGACCAGCATCCAAACTCACTGCTGGTTGCCTGTAGGTCCTGCTTCTTCGGAATCCTCGAACGTCCTTGCTTCCAGTGCGGTCAGATACTTGATGTTGACGTCAGCCACGAAGCTGTCGGCAGGATGGCTTATCCCAAGCCATCTTTAGCACGCCATTATTCCTATGGGGAGATCAAATAGCTCCTGCTTGTGAGTCAAGGGAGGCAGCATTTGAGGCGGAGTGCGCGTTGACATGTGAAACTGAATGATTTGAATATATGTTGAAAGCTTATAAAGGATGGTCATAACGGTATCTCACAAAAGCCATATCAGTATTGATATGAATTTTCAAAAGCGCGATAAGGGTTCTAATTAGTTGGGATGAAAATGATGAATGATGCATCTAAAGGTTCCCTAGCGCTTGGTTCCCTTTCTATAACTTGAACGATTGGCGCTGCCTTGGTCGACGGTATTCGGCCCGGGGTGCCTCCTTGATTTGTGGTACTCTCCCTCACTCTAATTTTTCCGGTCATT